GTACTTGAAACTTCTAAAGTGTGCTATTATATATCTATGATAGTACCACGGTATGTTGTTGATGTATAACGCGTTATCAGCACCTAATGGATATTGTGATATGATTAATTTGGAATTTATTATAGGTACCTACTACCTATTATAGGTCAATTTTTTTTCTAATACCATAGATATGTATACAATATTATGTCTTATACCTAGACTGACATACCATCTCCGCTCAGAATCGTTTTTCTTATACGATGATATTATATCATTGAATTCAAATTTAATACTATCCATTATACAGTGACAGACTTGTAACCTACTGTACAGCAGAGCGACACCCACTGGCCACTTGCCCACCTTTTTTATGTTTCCCTTTCTCATTGAAATTTAATTTGCAGTTAATTTTTAGCAATTTTAACTATAGGTACCTATGCATTCCAATATTAGATTTTTAATAGTAGGTAAACTATACAAAAAAACATAAGTAACTAATTTATAACTTAGGTCTTAGGTACTATCTACCTAGAATCTTCCATGATACCTAGTAGGTACCTACCTACTTAGTTTATAACGTTTATTTTTCTTTTTTTAAAATGATAAAATATAGGTAAAAAAAAAAGGTGGGTAAGTGGATGTCGCTCTGCTGTACAGTAGGTTACAAGTGGGTCACTGTATAATTGATGCTATTAAATTTGAATTCAATGATACAATATCATTGTATAAGAAAAACGATTCTGAGCGAAGACGGTATGTCAGTCTAGGTTAAGACAAATTATATACATATCTATGGTATTAAAAAAAAATTGACCTATAATAAATTCCAAATTAATCATATCACATTATCACAATATCCATTAGGTACTTATAACACGTTATACACCAACAACAAACCCTGATACTATCATATATATATAATAGTACACTTTAGAAGTTTCAAGTAGGTACCCACGAATAATATTATATAATCACAACAAAATATCTAGGTTTTTTAATATGTAATTTCGTCCAAATTTGAACATAAAATGACTATAAAAATAAACTGTGATTGTATATTTTTTAGATTTTTCGGTAAGAGAATTAACTACTTACGTGGAATCTTGTTTTAAATTTTTAATCCTTAGCTATAAAAACTGAACATTTTATAATTTATTAATTACGATGGTTAATAATTTTCGAGATTTTGAAAAATTCTGTCAAAATTCGATGTTAAAATGCTTATAAAAAAAAATTGTGCCTATGTATTTTTAATATTTTTCAATTGATATTGTAACAATATATCAGGAGCCTTGTATTAAATTTTTACACTTTTTGGCCCAACAGATAAAACTTAATTGATATTTATAGAAAAAAAAAACTAAAAAAATTGAAAACTGAAAATGTCCGTAAACGGCTCAAAAAGAGTCAAAATATTTTCAAAATTGTATGGTGTATAGGAAATGCTAATATAAACATTCAGTGAAATTTTCATGTATCTACAGTAATTCGTTTTTTAATTACAACAAAAAAAGGAAATTGCCACATGAGAAATCGAGTGAATATCCAATGTTGTAAAAATTTGAATTTCAAACGCTCATAAAAATTTAATTTGACTTTCCGGTAGAGATTTTTTTATTGATAAAGGTAGACAATCTTATGAGTAATCTTGTATTAGATTTTCAAATCTTAGATATAAAAAAAAAAATTTTGACGAATTCTTAACTCAAAATAATTTGCTAATTTTCGTGATTTTTCCATATTTTGTCAATTTTTGAACTTTAAATGCTTATAAAAAAAATTGTGACTAAGGATTTTTAATATTTTTCATCTGCCTTTGAAACAATATATTAGGAGCCTTCTATTAAATTTTCAAGCTTTCGCAACCAACAAATAAAATTTTATTGATATTTCTAGAAAAAAAACTAAAAAAAAACTAAAAATGAAAATGTCCCTAAACTGTTCAAAATAAATCAAAATATTTTGAAAATGTTATCGTGTATAGAAGATGCAAATATAAACAACCAGTGAAAATTGCATGTACCTACAGTCATTTGTTTTAAAGTTACACCAAAAACCAAATTCAATTTTCTGAAAAATCGATTTTGCGTAAAAATTCCCGTTTTTCCTTAATTTTTCTTTTGTTTTTCCCGGCGCTCTTGAAAACTACTGGGAAATTTAAATTTTGAACTCCCCAATGCACCAACGATATTCACTTTCCAATCGAACAAGATACTGAAGTCGAAAATCGAAGCATTATTTCGACTACTTATCGTGTACACAGACACAAAAAAAATAAATAAAAAAATAAAAAAAAAACACACATCATTGTAAAATCAATACATTCATCGTTTCACTCAGAATCTAAAACGTATGCATATGTGAATTTAAAAAATAAATAGTAATAAAATGTATCATTTTTTAGAAATCTTTCTCTTTACATAAAAAATTAATTTTTTGTTTATTTTATCTGAGATAATTTTGCCGCCCCTTAAAACCGGCCCTGCGTATGCTTCAAAAAATTTTTGGCTATGATTCCTATACACATATAATAATATTAAAACAATTACCCACATAATAATAATAATAAATTAATACTATTCATACATTATAAATACTGAAAAATAATTCATAATGAAATATTTTATTTATTTTATTATTGTGCCTATACACCTTTAATATACAAATTATTTCAATTTTTAATTTACTCATAGCTAATACGATATACCAAAATATAAAAATGTGAAATGTGAAATATAAGTTTTGGTAGTATTTATTTAATTTTAATTTGAAAGCGTTGTTGTAAAAAACTCAAAATTTCAATTAAATTCTAATTCATGCCATAATAATATTATAAAATTAAAATTAATTAATTAAACTCACTGTAGGTACTTTTTAAATAATGTACCTGGACTTTTGGTTGTTATCTTTTTGTGAAGCTCTCGTATATAATTGCCACCTGTATTAAATGATACTATAGCAGTACAGCAGTATATATTCTAGTGGTGTACGACTGTTTTTGAGAAAAATTAATTCGTTTACCGCCTATGTGCTTATTAATGACACTATTAAACTGTTCGCAGATGTTGTTATCAACATCAAGTAATAAACTTTTTGCATTATCAGCAACACGTCTAAGTGCAGTTGTAATTTTTTTCATCAAACCACTTTGCATTACTTCGTCGATCAAATTCAGTTCGTATAACTTTCTTCCAGTGCAAAAATATCGTGCACAATTAGAGTGTTTGCCAAATATATGGTATGGACTATTTAAAATATCCTTTCGCAAATTATATTCAATTTATAATATGTACCACTTTACCTGGTTGTGGCTTAGATTGTCTATACTCTTTTTCACGAGAGAAAGGTAGCGGCGGCCGACCAAAACGGGTCCGCCGCCGCGCATCCCCCACCAACTATCAGTGGTAAGCGTGATCACGTGGTCGTTCACGCACCAATCGAATCATTTTACATGCGCGAAACGGTACCGTTCTCTCGTGAAATAGAGTATACATTGAATGATTTCTGTTAATTGTTATAAATGGTTTTTTGAGTACCTACCTATTTCTTTTTTTTATCATACCCAAATTGTTCGATAATTCAAGTAATACGGCCTATTTAAATAGTTTACAGCAAAACTACCTATTATAAAAGTTTTAGAGAAGAATTTTTTCAACAATTGAAATAAGCTCGATTTTTTATATTTTTATTAATAAGTTAAATAATTAATCGATAAAAAGTAAAAAAAAAAAATGTTAATTTACCATGCGATATTGGACGATTGGAATACGATATCAAAAATCGGATTTATTACTATTGTTAAAAAAAATTCTCCTCTACCACTTTTATAATAGGTATTTTTACTGTAAACCTCTTCAATAAGCCGTATTAATTGAAGAACAAAAGTAGTTTTTATTTGTATAAAATTCGGATAAGAAGAGTTTGGCCTAGTGAACAAAATATGGTTTCGTAATTCAAGTAATACGGCTTATTGAAGCAGTTAACAGTAAAAATACCTATTATAAAAGTTGGAGAGAAGAATTTTTTTAATAATCGAAATAAGCCCGATTTTTTATATTTTTATTAATGAGTTAAATAATTAATCGATAAAAAGTAAAAAAAAAAAAAATTGTTAATTTATCATGCGATATTGGACGATTGGAATACGATATCAAAAATCGGATTCCTTACGATTGTTAAAAAAATGCTCCTCTACAATTTTTATAATAGGTATTTTTATTGCAAACCGCTTCAATAAGCCGTATTACACTATTACCTACTTGAAGAACAAAAGTATAGTTTTTATTTGTATAAAATTCGGATACGAATTACGAATACAAAATATAAAATCGAACCAAATTAAATATTATTTGTCACAAATATAATAATCATTTTCTTATCTGGTTATTTACTTATTTATAAACTATGCACGGGCGGTCGGCTGCGATAGAGAACCTGTTTTGACCACGGTGCGGTACCGCCGTTAATGCGCGCGGGGTGGTGGTATGCACAGCTAGTATCGAACGCTGCCACTGACTACGGGCGCAGCACTTGCCGAGCGTAATTTTCTGCAGTTTTCTTATAAAACATACTTTGCGCGTTCCAATAATATGGGTTACTGAGTGGCTTAATCGTAAAAACACCTATGAACAAAATTAAAGATAATAATATTTTCGAGGGCCCCACCTAGGTTTTTTTCTTTGTTCCAAATATTAAGCTCAGTACATCGTTTAAAAATAATGATTTTTTCAACATGTTAAAATGACAGTAACTTTTCAAAAAATTAATTTTTTGAAAAAAGGCTACGTGGGGCCCTCGAAAATATTATTATCTTTAATTTTGTTAATAGGTGTTTATGTCCTAAAACCACTCTGGAGTGCAAAATTTGGAATCTAAGCGAGCATGTTTTTGGTATTGAAAACGCCGGTACTACGTCCTCTTAACCATGAATTATTTGGTTTTTAGTAATTTAAGACCATCACTATTTGTTATTTTCTACTATAAATATTGATACTTTTTGTATAAATTTTCAATTTCAGTTAAATTACCTCTTTTATATGATTGTTGACATTTATAGGGTGTTTAATTCCATTTACTGTTTCACTCTCTCTAGATAATACCAATTTCAAAACATCTGTTTCATTTTTATTTAACTTCTGTTTTTTTTTAACAGGCTCGTCATCTACAGATGTATTACTGTTTTCTGATGTTTTAACGACTTTTGACTTTTTATCATCTTTAGATGTTGTATTGGTTTTACATGTCTCATCTTGTTTTAATGCATTATTATCTTCTTCTTTGGGTGTATCCTTATTTTTAATTAGGCTCCTAAAATAAATAAAAATTATTAACTAAAATAAGTGTTTTGAGATAAATGTCATATTAATATTCAAATATAAAATATTTGTATTTAATCATAGATTCTAATAAAGAGTTCAATACAATTATTTATTTAAAGTATAAATTACATAATATAAATATAATATGAGCCATGAGTGATGTGACGAATTGTTCGAAAATTGAACCAAAACAAATGCTTAATAGATTAATTGATAGGCTATAATGCAGTCCCTAAATGTGTGTGTAGTACGACACACCTTGTGTAGTATGAAAATTGTAGTGTGTAGTACGAAATCCAAAAGTGTGATATTTAAATTAAACTTTTATAATATTGACTATTGTGCGGTATATTGGGGGACGGAGTGACCGAGCGGACAAAAGCGTCGGTAATGAAATCGCCGGTTCGAACATTGGAGACCGACGAACGGAACTTCTCTTCGGGCAGTCACGGTATCTGAAGACTGCATAGGCCAAAATTGGGGGGCTTGGGGGTGCTAAGCCCCCTCAACTTAGCCATAGCCCCCCCCCCCCCCAAAAAAAAACCTTGGACATACAATTTTAATATGCTATATTGCAATGGTCTGCTTGTCTTTAATATATTCAGCCCCCCCCCCCAAGTCAAAAGTTGAAATTGCGCCTGTGCTGGAGAGGGAGGCCGCCATCCCACACCCGGGCATGGCAGATACCTACGGGTGCCCACTTGAAAATTCTGCCAAAACTAAAACACACGTGTTTACAAAATTTTATCAAGTATAAGAATTGATAAAATAAACATTCAGTGAAATTTGCATGTATCTAGAGTCATTCGTTTTTGAATTATATCAAAATAAGAAAATCGTTACATATGAGAAATCGAGTGAATAACAAATTTTGTAAAAATATGATTTTAAAATGTTCATAAAAATTTAATTTCACTTTCCGATACACTTTTTTTTTTTGATAAAGGTAGACAAACTTATGAAAAATCTTGTATTATAATTTCAAATCTTAGATTAAAAAGAAAATTTTTTATGAATTTCTAACTAAAAATAATTTGTAAGATTTCGTGTTTTTTCCGTATTTTGTCAATATTTGAACTTTAAGTGCTTACAAAAAAAAACTGTGACTAAGGATTTTTAATAATTTTCAAAAGTCATTGTAACAACATAGTAGGAGCTTTGTATTAAATTTTCAAGTATTTTTACTCAACAAATAAAGTTTTATTGACATTCATAGAAAAAAACCTAAAAAGTTGGAAACTGAGTAAATCCGTAAACAGCTCAAAACAAATCAAAATATTTTGAAAATTTTATCGTGTATAGAAAATGGAAATAAAAACAACCAGTGAAAATGTCATGTATTTACGATCATTTGTTTTAGGGTTACACCAAAAGCCAAAATCGGTTTTGTCAAAAACCGGATTGCGTAAAAATTCCCGTTTTTCCTTAATTTTTATGTTGTTTTTCCCGGCGCTTGGGAAAACTATTAGGAATTTTAAATTTTGACCTCCCAATGCACCAACAATATTCACTTTCCTATCGAATGATGCTGAAGTTGAAAATCCAAACATTATTTCGACTACCTACTTATCGTGTACACGGACACAAAAATGAAATAAAATTAAAAAAACACACATCATTGTAAAATCAATACATTCATCGTTTCACTCGGAATCTAAAATAGAATACGCTGAAAATACATTAAATTAAAAAAGTTTGGCTTCAGTTTGGTTTGTCCTCAAAAGGCAGTGTTCGTATTATATAGTGATCACTAGTATCTACTTATATATAAAAAATTTAAAAATAAACTTACAATTTATAGTTTGCTATGTCTTCTGCAGTTAATTTCACCATCGGAACTTCCCATTTGCTATAAATAGCTTTGATAAACAAGTTATCGATTTGCATTTTGCTATACGTGTGCTTTTTCATTCTGAAAAAAAAATGTCAGCATGAAATAACAAATACAATGTTCAAGTTCAAGGTAGGTACCTATATATTTTTAATAATAACTTTTATTAAAAAACAGCTTTTGCCTATTTGACAACTAACATTGTTTTTAACCTGTAAAAATATAATATTTTTCAATATTGAAAGTGAAATAACTATGAATGAAGTTTTAATATAAACATGTATATTGCAAAATGTAAATTTAAAACAAGGTAAATAAATTACTTTATACACAATAATATCATAAAATATGCTTAGTAATAAATCATAAGTGAGTATTACTGCTGTTTAGTGTATAAACTAATATACCTATGTATGATCATATGAATTTTCTAATATTTCTCATACCCGCATTCCAGATAGGTGCTTAAAATTATTATACTTTTTGATACCTTAATTATCAGGAACCGGTACCGAAATTATTTGGAACCGATACCTTAATTATTTTTTTATCAAAAAACCAGAACCGAACGTTACAATATGTTAACCGAATGTTAAAATATATTTTATTTCATTAATGTGTACCTACACACTATAACTTACTGTAATTTGTAGTTAACTCGTAACAAAATAAGTTGAAGTAGAATAATATACACGAACAATGAACATAATATAAGTTACAAGCTGCAATACAAACTGATTCGTATATAATAATAAGAGGACTAAACAACAATAAAATAAGTAAAAATAAAAATCACCAAAAAAAAAAAAAATATATAGCAAACATTTTTGACGATTGTATAAATAAAAGAATTGATAGATTCACTTATATAAAACTAGCATCAAACTACTATTTAAAAAAATTAACCAATTTGTATATATTTATATTGTTTAATTTTTTTTTACCTTACTATAATACGGAATTATTATTATTAATTAATTATTTAAAAATATGACGATCTTACTTCATTTTGTAAAACTAGATATACCAGATATATGAGTTATATTATTTAATTATTTTAATATATATTATTATCCGTTATGGACGACAATGTTTGAATTGTTTTTATTCAAATAAAACTTAATTTATACTTTTATGGAAAACTAAGTGTACCCTAATCTATACTGTTAATTATTTTAAAAATTGACCACATTATAACTCTATTTAAAAATATTACGATCTTACTTCATTTTTAAAAATAATAATCACTAGATATTTGAGTTATATTATTTTATTATTTTAATAAATATTATCCGTTATGGACGCCAATGTTTTTATTTAAATAAAACTTACTTTATACTAAGTGTACCCTAACCTATGCTGTTAATTAAAAAAAAAATTCTGTATAATATGATACTTTGGTTATTGTTTAATAAACAGTCGGCGGAATCAACATACATAAATAACTGGCGGAATCGATAGCCGGCGGAATTGATATTAAAACGGCGGAGTCGATAAAACCCCTTTTGGAGAACCAGTACCGGTACCGATACCGATAAATTCAAAAGGTTCCAGTCCCTGAATACAATAGATTAGATACTCATAAGTTTGTCTACCTTTATCAAAAAAAAAAAAAAAAAATGTCTACAAGAAAGTCAAATAAAATTTTTATGAGCTTTTGGAGTTTATATTTCTACAACATAGCAACATATTCACTCAATTTCTCATGTAGCGATTTTCTTATTTTGCTGTAATTCAAAAACAAATAACTGTAGATAGGTACGTGAAATCCACACCATTATATTATGTTTATTTTATCAATTCCCATACTTGATAACATTTTTAAAACATTTATTTAATTAAAAATTTAAAAATTATTTTGTAGTTAAAAATGTAATGTTCATCTTTTATAGCTGTAGGTTCGGACTGAAAATTTAAAACTAGTTTCAACGTAAATAGGTTATATTATATAAATTACTTTATTCACAATAATATCATCAAATATACTTGGTAATATCATAGGCTGACCGACCGTTCTTCGCTCAGAATCGTTTTTCGTATACAATAATGTTATATCATTGAATTCAAATTTAATACCATCCATTACAGTGACCCAATGTAACAACGTGACATACTGTACAGCAGAGCGACACCTATTTTCCCACCTTTTTTTTATTTGTGTCTGTTTACACGATAAGTGCATAGTCGGAATAATAATTCGATTTTTACCTTCAGCATCTTTTATGGTGGGAAAGTGAACCTGGTTGATGCCTTAGTGAGGTTAAAATTCTCAGTAGTTTTCAAAAGCGCAGGGGAAAAATCAATAATAAGGAAAAACGGGGGTTCTATAAAAAATTAGTTTTCGACAAAATCAATTTTGATTTTTGGTGTAACTTTAAAACAAATGACCGTTACGTAAAAAAAAATTGTAATTTGTTATAGACGCCGAGCGTGGAAGTCAAGCAGAGTTGCTCGCAAAGCACATAAAATTAAAATCGCAAACTTTGAGAAGGCTTATAACGTCTAAAATAATAGTTTCCGTTAAAAAAAAATGTACACCATCGTTTTAAACATAAAAAACAAGCCGTTTAAAAAAAAAAAAATTGAAAATCGTTAGGGAGTTGGTAAATTGCATTTTAGCCGAATATTTATTTTATTATAAAAATAGATATGTCTTATAGAAATATTATTTTGTTCCTTTATTTTTTTTAAAATGCTCGCTTCAATATGCTATAAATTATGAATTGTGTCGAAATATGCAATAACCATTAAAACATATTATGCAGTAAATGAACAAAACATTTTTACATAAGTTTCAATCATAAGTTTCGTATCATGATTCGTAAAGATTACTGACGAAAATCCAAAAATACGAAAAGGAAAAAATATTGGTACAGTTACATAAGAATCCGCGCTCTACTAACTCTAGTCATAATATAACAACAAAAAAAATAACACAGGATATACGACGCCAGTACCTATATAGCTTATAACCTAATACAATAATTAAGATTTAATAAGCAATCCTGAGATAATTTTACTATAAAATAAAAAAATGAATTTAAATTTAATTTACTTACGTATTATACTTGTGTCTTGCAGCGTTGGTGGCTGGCGTCAAATGGTCAAATGAATTGAACGGTGTGCAGAAAGGTAAAAGATATCACCCCGCTACAATATCGGTACAATGATAAATTAAACTTCGTGTGAGTGAGATAGCGGAAATGGATACGATAGACAGACAGAGTCAGCGACGTCCATAATATTAAATATAGATTATTAAGCTATATCGTCAGCCCTATAATAAGTAATCACCAACGATAAGATAATAATATTTCAATATTAATATTTTATATAAGGAGTTATTTGAAAATATCAATCTTATAAAAAATTGTCAATAAATATAGTATCTATAGTAAAACCGTGGTACAAATCTATCTAGGATTTTGTCGCTTTCGTACGATACAACTTTTTTTCCAAGATAAAGACCGGTGATAGTCTTAGGGCCAGTTGTACCGTCCACGGTTAAACTTCGATTAGGTAGGTACGCTTAATCAGCTGATAACAGATTTTCTAACTGGGCAAATTCGGTTAATTCCAATCGGAGATGGTACAACTGGCCCTTAGGTCAATGACCCGGCCCGGCGGCCGTTAACCCCTATTGTGAATCCCCGGTGGGGACTTCTCCACTGTTCAGTCGTAAAATGATGATAATTTTTTTTCTTTTAACACTATAGGTAATCTTTTTTCTTTATAGTTTCTATATAATAACGTATTTAAATTATTCCACAACTATAGGTACCTATCAGTAATCACTAATCAGTACCTAGGTACCTACTTCTGTTTTCAGTCATTGTTTTTAAATTTATCAAAATGTTTTTAAATAGATACCTACCTATTAAATGCATTTCTTCAATTAGTTTTTAACGAACATTATTCCAGGCTATTACTGCTATTAAAGTAATTAATTATTTTTCTGTTATACATTAGTAACAGTGGAGAACGCAGGATTTTTTAATGGGGGGGGGGGCTTTTAAATGAATTAACTTTACTAGTAGAAAAAAATATGTTCTGATCATAAAGTTCTATGGAGGTTTTAATAAATTAGATCTTGTTGGCAGGGCCTGATTTAATAAAATTAGGGCCAAGTGCACAATTTTTTTTGGGGCCCCCTACTCATAAAAATGTTCTAGAAAAAATCTACACAAAGAGGAGGGGGGGAAATGTTGATAATAAAAAAAAATATTTATATGTTAAAATACCTATTATTATACCATTTTATACCTATCTCAAATTCTCAAAACTCATAAAATATTTGTACATTATTTCATGTCTAGGTATAAATACAATTTAGTTACTTGGTCTGGTAAATTAAGGACAATGAAAAGATAATACTAATTAAATAACATAACAAAATTATAATATATTAAAATATTAAAAATACTTGAGAATTTATTATATGAATTTAAATTAAAATAATTAGTTTTCAACAATCCATAAAATTATAAAAATGGTAAATAACTTATTAATTAATAATTTATTTTATATAATTAAAATGAAATAAAAAATGATCAATTTTTTATAATTTCTATTTCTATAACATTTTATCATAAAAAAGTTTGAAAATTACAAAAACTGACAATTTAATGATAAAAATATATTGAACCCTGAACATTGACAGTTGGTACTTATTACATTTTACAAAATAAATTAAAAAAAACAATTATCTACAACTTACGGAGATCGGGGGCCCCCAGAAATTGAGGGCCAAGTGCAAGTGCTCCATCTGCACTTGCGTTAATCAGGGACTGCTTGTTGGTACTACTTTTGGGAGGTCAAAAATAATAGAGAAAAACAAAAAAAAATATATTAGATAACATTATTTGTTAAAGCCGTAGAGTACACTCTCTTACAAAAGACAATGACCGGATAGGATGATTGGTGATTGAATAATCAAACGCAAGCTGGATGCAAATTGACTGTATCAGCCGTTTATTTAATATTCGCACAAATATATTGCAACAATTTAGAAATTAAAAAATGATTTATACTAGGTACTTAGACCAACGAAGGTTACTGGCTGTTAGAAAATATACAATTGCTCGAATATTCTCCAAGTCCCGAAAAAACATAGTTGATTGAAATAATCTAAGTTCAAAAATGTAAATTAGACAAGTTGTCTGGCAAGGAGGTGCTCGTCGTAAGTATGTGGAATCACGTCGGGCCGTTTCTGTTTCTGTTCTCTAGTGCGAATACCCTCTACTCTACTTGTCCCTGCGACTCGTGCCGCCGTTTCTACCGACTGTGGGGTCGATTCCCCCGAATTAGTTAATAGTCTTAGCTATATCCATATACTGTATTTGTGATGTCATGTGCCCGTGGGTTTGCAGATGTGTTAGTGGCTGGCCAATTTTATGATCGGGGTTTTGCTAACCACGTAGTTTGTCATAGCTATATATTGCTAAGATTTTATTAGACCCACGGACTTCTCACAGCATACTTTTTATTAGCATTTCATAATTCTGTGCGTTGGCCCTTCTGCGCCTATGCTAATTTTTTTTAACTTTATATAATAGTTATTGCTTACCCCGGGTCTTGTCACAACACTAATAATATCACCCCGATATCGAGTGTGAAGTAATATACTATATAATATTATATTATTATCATATATAGTATATTACAATTCATAGTTATGTGTAGGAGTGGATAGTATAGGGTCCGCACCTCCCCTCAGACAAAGCATCTATTTATCTATAAGAGACAGAAATCTCTTCAAGTTATAAAATGTGTTTATAAATTAGTTAATTTTCATTACATTAATATGTGTTTACAGTATAGATAATTTTCGTTACATTAATATATGTTTACAGTATAGATAATTTTCGTTACATTAATAAGTCATGTTTATACATTGTTAACATTGCGTTTTGCCAGATATATTATTTTACAATTGTTGACATAATCTGGTTGTATACAATACATTATTAGAACAAACCATGTGCGTATGATGGCATTACAGGTTACAATGATACAATTTTACAATAATACATATATTTTTTATTACTTATGTTCGTTAGTTGTTGCAATAAAACAAATTTTTACTTATCATAATAAAAATCTTTTTTTTTTTTGTGTGTTAGCTACATCATATTATGTTACTAGTTACAATCAAATAATCTATTTCTTAATACAATAACAAACATTTTTTTTATTTACATAGATTGTCATAATACAACAGATATCTTATAATTATTTGTTACTAAGTCTACACCCTCATCTTCACTTATATTTATATATATATACTATAGTTATATCATAGTATGATTAATTATTACAAAAAAATAATAAGTTAGTATCTTTATATTTTACTGTTGACTTAAAGTTAATTAACTAGTTTATACTAAACTTAAATTAATACTTTCTTGTTAACAAAAGAAATGTATAGATAATCGAAAAAAAATTCTTATCACGACTCACTTGCTTAATCATATTCAACTTTTTTATGTACTTATGTAATATATATTTTTGAATATATTTTAATTTTGTTTTAACGTATATAAGCGTTTTGACATTATTTGATTATTATTATATTTTTATTTGTTACTTATTGCTTTATTCGCTGATTTTTATTGAATTAAACATAAACTAAATGTGGAGACAACTCATATGAGAAAGAAGCTATATTGTCAAGCCAGGACCTAAACCAAATTAAGGAAATTCTCGAACCACACAATGGAGGTACGAAAAAATTTCCGAAATAGTTAACAACCCGGAACACATAACAGATGATATTAAAACGACACAAGATACATTTGACGAAACACAAGCACAAAATAAAGTAATAACCATGACTATACCGTTGGAGGATAACAAAATTTGAAATAAAATGTTATAAAATTACGTGTTATATATAATTTTAGGATCATTATTAATCACTATAATTATGATAATAAAAGCGTAATTTATAAGTATAAGTTGGTTAATAGGAATAGATATAGTTACCTACATAGTAGAAATGATAGCAGCGCCTGAGGGAGTAAGAGAGACGGAGTGTTGATATCAACAGTATTTTTTTTTGTTAGTGTAGCGAGCTGTGACTACCTGAACAAATACTTATATTATCAGTTAATTAATATGTACGTAATCATATATCGTGCTCTTAAATATAAATATTTTTTTTTTTTTTTTTATTTTTTAAAAGAAATATACCATCTGTACCCAGAGACACAATAAGGATATGGGCTAATTTACAAAAAGGCGTGAATAATTTGTTGGAAGAAGCCACCCAGTAGTGACACTTCCTAGTAATTGGAATTATAATATTAGAAGGAATGCTTAAGAATATCAAAGAAGAATTTGTCAGCAGGTATATAGAAATAAGCAAAGAATGCCTGAATATAGAGATGCCTCTGATTAAAAGGCTGTCAAATAGAAAAGGAGACATAGAAACACAGAGACAAATAACAGAATACAAGATAGAATCTTTAAACATAAATGAGGAAGAAAAAGAGGAACTACAAAACAAGGAAGAGGTAGAGTATTACCAAATATTAGAGTACATCGATAATATCTTATTGCCATCTTGCAGGTTGGAGAAATGGGAAGGGATGGAGACACTTGTATTCCAACTAAGAAAGAAGATCTCATCAGCCTTAATACACAACCGAGAATTGTTCCCAGCCCAGAAAGAGGAGTCCATAAACTACATAAGACGGAAATGTTTAATGTTCTCGCTCGAGATGTTGGATTACCCGAAGATGAAGTCTTTTTGTATTCAATTACTTACTGAGATAGCCAAATAAACACAGTATGGCGAAGATTGAATAACTAAATGGAAAGAAAAATATATGTCAGACGATATATGAAAAAGGAGTTTGTTTATGCTAAATATAAATATAATTATAATACGCGAGCAAGCGCCGGGTCACAATAAACAGATTTGTTGAGTAAAACTTTTATAGAGGTATGAAAGTTGTTAAAAATTAATAAGATAAACACCAGTCCATACCACCCGCAGACCAATGAGGGATTGGAAAGACCACATAGGACATTAGCGGAGTATCTTAGACACTATGTAGACAAAACTTTTTGTTAAGTTTTTAAAAAAAAACTAATTCTTTGTTCAACAAAGAGTAGCCACAAGATTTTATATTTCTATACAAAAAAGGTCATTATTCGGGCGTAGACGGTTTCGACTATTACGATAATAAAGGCGCCACAGATCCGACAGCCGATACGACTATAATTCATATGTATATGAGAACGGCCTTGGCAACATGTAGTGGTGGTGCAGGCTCGACTGTCGTACTCTCGTCGAGTACGACCTCATACGAAGAAAAAAAATATCTACGAGCAACTGTTGTGAAAAATTTTGTAGATATCGACAAAGAAATGTGTTGGGACCTAATGCGTGTATCGTTATTGTTGCACGTGTCGGCAACAGGTATTGAAAACAAACTGGCAACTTTGAGTTTGAACAAAATTCATACGGAACGAGAAATACGAAATTTTTCAGTTGCTGGGCATTTAACGCCAGAAAAAATGTTGTCGTCGGCCGAAATAGTGAAGCACACGATTAACGACTGACCGAGTTGAATACGTTATAAAAAATAATATTTATATGAAATCTGATTGTTTTGATGTCTTGAACAATAGATTGACAAAGGATATGTTTAAGTATGATGATTATTATGCAATAGATCGATCAAGAGAATAGTACAAAAAAAAACAAGGATCGTACATTAAATTATCATGTAACATTATAATATTATAATAAACATTATATTATAAAATACGTAAAAATTTTATTTCTTTTCACATGTGTAACGTGCCCAACAGCGTTACTTGTGATTTGGAAGCAAAAAAATTGAACAAAACCTCTTTTGACAATATTTATTGTATTTATTATATAAACAGTTTTATGGAATTTATCCTAAGTCCAAATAATAAACTAAAAGCGAGTTGTGACTATGAGTATTTAGTGTGACTGTCGAAGTTGAGGTTGGTTGCTCGTCTGACGGACACCCGTCCATCAGCTCTCCCCGATGGATCTCTGTCCCTTGCCACTTCCATACTTTTTAAGACCATTTATGGTCTTGCGGTTAAGCCTTTTGTGACCTTTTGTGAATTTCACACGCTTGCACGCGCCGGAAGTCTACATATATCTATATTGTACATTTGTGGTGTTATTTAACATAATTATATTCATATATTCATAATCAAGTAATTATTCATATACGTAGTCCTATATCTATTGTCGCACGCAGTTCATGGTCACGCGCTCGATATAAAAATTATTGATATTATATTATTACTATTTGAAGAAGCGCTCGAGTATAATATTTATATATACGCGGTGCGAATATTATATGATTACGTATGCATTGAATGTGTTTAACCCATATGGCTAAATAGTCACAGCTCGCTACACATGCATATTATAATGTTTTTCACATTTTACCAAACGACGGCAAAAACTGGTTAATTCCAAACGGCTCATATTTCATAACGAGAATAATAATAATATTTTATGACTTGTAGGTATTGTGTATGTGGGACAGAAAAAAAAACAATATTTTCATAGTTTATTACATTATATTTAACGATTGTTCAACTTGAGCAGATTATTGTATAGGTTATACATATTATAATAAACATTAAATTATAATATACGTAAAAATTGTATTTCTTTTCACACTGCATATTATTATAATGTTTTTCACATTTTACCAAACGACGGTAAAAACTCGTTAATTCCAAACGGCTCATAACGAGAACAATAAAAATATTTTATGACTTGTAGATATTGTGTATGTGGGACAGAAAAAAAATAAAATATTTTAATAGTTTATTACATTATATTTAACGATTGTTCAACTTGAGCAGATTATTATATAGGTTATACCTACATATTATAATATAATATGCCGAGAATAAAAAAAACGGGCGACTATATGGTTTTATTTTTTTTTTTTCAAAGAAATTATCATGTATTTAGCTTATAATATCGACTGGAGAGGTCTAAATGTATAATGTACACATGTGCACTAAAATTTAACGTCGAATACTAAATTTAATCGTATATAATTTACAGATTATGATTAATCAACAAACATGAATAGTAATAAACTTTTTTTCTTTTATTCTAGTTGCACACTTGTGCCCTTAGAAAAAAAAAACCACACACATTTAAAGACTTCTGGTTGGTTGATAGAAATCGGTTAAAACTGACTTAAAACTGGATAATTAGTTTGAATAGTGTTTAGTGTCCGACAATCATTTGCGTTATTGTTCACGGCTATTGTTCTTAATGTCGTATTGGAAACTCTCATCGAATGATCTAGTAAATTATGATGAAAAAATTTTGAGAAAAGAATGTAAAGCTGCATGTTTTTACATTGTACGCAAACTGAACGATCTAGATCGGCCAAATAAAAGTAATAAACTAGTGAGTAGTCTTATGTCGATATTTGTACCATGTCTTTTAGAAACGTTGAATTGTGACGATTACACACATGTGCCAATGAATTTTTTATGTTTTTTTAAATTACATTCGTCTATACTTTTTAGTGTATTTTTTCATATGCCCGAAAAATTATTCACACTACTATCCGGTGTCTTTGCACATTTAAAAGTTCACCGTACCGTGTTTGGCGAAACATTCAATAGACTCGTTAAAAATCGGGAAAAGACCATTCGTCAATTTTTTAATTTATGTAACTATCATAATGTCGGTGTTAGAAACCATCTCTTTGTGCCTCCAAGTGCTCTTAATGGGATTTTAAAACCTCAAAATCCAGATTCGAGAATCAAACACGCGGCTATTTTTAACAAATTCGAAGTTTATAATTTATTAAAACGGTATTTTGTAAGCGAGAGACAAGACGTGTCATTCGATTTGTGTGTAGCGAGCTGTGACTATTTCTTAAATAACAATATAAATCTCATTCTAATATGTACGTAATCATATAATAGACGCGCCGCGTAAATATAATATAATTGTAATACGCGAGCGTTGGTCGCGTAAACGTTAATAATAATAATAATATCGCTGGTACCATGTATACAGTACGTGTGTAGTGGAGCAACGACATCATATATACAGCGCGAAGCTAATAATATCGAGCGCATGACCATGAACGGCGCGCGGCAATAGATATATGACTACATAAATAAATCATTCTAAAATACTGTGGATTAGGATTTGTGCTGTTATATTAAATGACAAGATGTCATCCGATAACATCCGGCACGTGCAAGAACGAAGACCGGGTGACAAATCCCACGATAGGCCTAACCGTAGGATGACCATGTATGGTCATGTGAACTAATGGAAGGGTCGTCGTCGTCGTAGAATAATATGAAATATTATTGAACAAGTAACCAGTAAGCTGTGCGCGGACCGCACCTGTATTTTAAGTTGTTCGCCCACCTGTATAAATAGTTGTTTTATCGTTTACTTTTTATAACAACTACGTGCGTCTTTGCGATAAGTTGTCGTTAGTTCACCCAAAAGTGCCTCTTCGTTTTTACATAAATACGTAGAAAAGATGGTCGATGCAATAGTAGTTGACAAAGTTTACAACTGCACAGACTTACGTAGCTCTAATCAAAATGGACGCCATTCAAACAACTCCAACGAAGGAAGCAGATCCGGAAATTTTGACACCGCCACCAACTCCGAAGAAAAAACAATCTCATCTGAAACGGAAACCCAATACAGTACTGGGGTTTTCGTTGGACGAACCGCAAAAAAAAATTTCTCGTCCGAAGGAACTGGTCAATGCCAATTCGGGCCATCCCCTCAAGTCAATTTGGTGTCTTCGGAGGACGAAGAAGACACGGAGTTAAAAGAGATATTCGACACTCCGATACTGAAGTTGGGATCCAAGATGATGAGTACTTCGAAACAAAACATAGGAGATTTCGAAACATTTCTAAGTTTTTCCGAAGCTCTGTTTCAACACTCCAAATTGAAGCTCCTTCCATTTTTCCGACTATACCGACGAATATAGAAAATTGGGCCGTGAAACATTTGTTAAATGTTTGGGAAGTACATGCCGATACTTGTCGGATATTTGTGTCCCGGAGAACGGGGAGGAAATTATTCAATTCATTAGAGATGTTCGACAATTATCCAGAACATCTTCTCCGGAGCAGCTGCGACTTGTGTCCGTCCACGACACCCATATCCACGTCGTCCATCTCTGCGCCTATTCAAACAGTGCTTGTCGCTGCTCCTGGCTCAGTGGAAGTTCAATCTGGAGATCGAGACGAATCGCCAAACATCGAAGACGAATTTTTGCAGCTGACTTCTCAGCTACAGAATGGGAAAACATCTATAGATATTTCACTACAAATGGCCACGCAGTCCAAGTCGTTGAAAGCGGAGGTCCAAATGAACGATTTTGTGTACGACTTAAAAATTTACAAGTAAGAAATTAAAAACATTATAATTATTCAGATTATAATATTTTTAATTTTACAGGAAAGAGGACATCAAATCTTTGGACAAAAGCCAATGGTACACAAAAGTGCATACGAAAGCTGTAGGAACATTGGCGTCGAACCATCCGACAAAAACGAAGCTGGACTCAGTTATGAAGGATCTGTTGGTCGACATTCGATCCAAGAAGAACATGAGAATGTTAGAGGATATTAAGGATGTTGCGAACAAAGTGAGCGTGTTAAGTGTATCACTGTGGGTTGGCTACGTTTTAGCTTTCTTATTCTTTTTGATTTGCTTTATATCAGGTTCGAGTTATGAGTGCAGACATAAATAATAATATCGCTGGTACCATGTGGAGCAACGACATCATATATACAGCGCGAAGCTAATAATATCGAACGCATGACCATGAACGGCGCGCGGCAATAGATATATGACTACGTATATAAATTATTCTAAAATACTGTGGATTAAGATTTGTGCTGTTATATTAAATGACAAGAAGTCATCCGATGACATCCGGCACGTGCAAGAACGAAGACCGGGTGACAACTCCCACGATAGGCCTAACCGCAGGATGACCATGTATGGTCATGTGAACTAATGGAAGGGACAGGGACAGAGACCCATCGAGGAGAGCTGATGTACAAGCTTTCATCAGACGAGCAGCCAGCCTCAACTCGAACAGACACCAGCTAAAATACTCGCTTATAACCGTTTTACTTAAATTAATAATTATTCTGGACTTAGAATAATATTGCATAACTATTTTATTTGAGTACAATAAATACAAATTATAAGTCATCTTCGTAAGTCATTTCAATTTACTTCCTACATTACAACAACTGAAGTAGTTGGCACGTAACATGTGTATAACTATCGTAATGTATTTATGATGGTGATTGTTTGGTTTGCGAATTATATCAAAGTTTCGGGATTTCTTCGATATACTGATCGGATTGTGTCTAAAAATTGTGATTTATTTTTACAAATGTTTAATAAATCTACAATTTATTGGTACGAAGCCAACCTGTTGCTATTTAATTATTCGGATCGTATAACGAAAAAATTAGAAATGGCAATAGGTGTATCGGTAAAAACATTGGCGAGTCGATTAAAACCAATCCACGTGGATAAGGACGTTACGAAAATACTTTTAATACATGGACATAGGTACATGTATGTCGCGTTGGGCCCCGTTCTCGTTTCGAGACATGCGCGGTTGCCGCCGGACGAATGGAGTCGTAAATTTATATATGCAATACAAGATTTTGAAAAAAAATTCGTCATGTTGAATAACCGATTAAACGTAGATAATCGATATTTAGTGTGGATCGTCGACGACGAGAGCAACGACCACGACTACAAATCGAAAAATCAAAATCATTATGATTTTTTATCGAATGATCATGATTATATGTACGAAAAAACGAAGTGGTTGGAGAACGATCAGACAGACAATTTCGAGAAAAACGAAAAATTATAATTTCACCAACGTTGCCAGAAAATTCAGATACAGACGCTGATTGGAAAGATCACACAGAACTATAGCCGAATATCTTAGGCATTACGTAGACAAGGATTTAAATACCTGGGATCAATTATTACCTTATGCGTTATTCGTTTATAATTCGACAGAACATTCATCCACTAAATATCAGCCATATTCCTTGTTGTATGGAAAGGAAATAAATATTCCAGTAAATTTGAGAAGTAACCCCGAACCTAGGTACAATTACGATGATTACCTGTATGATTTGAAACAAAGAATGCAGGAATCTCATAAAATCGCTAGGGAAAGATTAATCAAAAAGAAGATCTGTTGAAATATACAATTAATATGTAGTATATGTAGTCAGCCTTGACACGTGTGTACAATATAGTAACTAGTTATGTACGAGCATAAGACTCACTCTCTTCACGGATGTAACATGACCTCGGTCGTGCATATATATAGGGCCTTTGATGTATGTAATATTCACTTGCACAGGCGTCGTTGTACAGAGCGTATACGATGTGTGTGTACTGTCACAGTTTAATTGTCCAGTTGTACGTTATTATATATACTTATACATAATCATATTGTCGTGTTATTACTTATTATATTAATGCTAACATCATTAGTCCGTCAAGCTTCACTTTCAACAAGAACAAATCAAAAGCTAATTATGATAGTAATGCACATAGTGTAGAGTTGCATGTAAAAGACTCTATATTGTTAAGAGATAATACCCAAAGAAATAAATTGACACCTTTATGGAAGGGGCCTTTCGATATTTTAGAAGTGTTAGACACTGAAAATATTGTTATCCAAAGGGGAAGAAGAAAGGTTACCGTACACAAAAATGATGATTGTTTGGTTTGCGAATTATATCAAAGTTTCGTGATTTCTTCGATATACTGATCGGATTGTGTCTAAAAATTGTGATTTATTTTTACAAACGTTTAATAAATCTACAATTTATTGGTACGAAGCCAGCCTGTTGCCATTTAATTATTCGGATCGTACAGCGAAAAAATTAGAAATGGCAAGTTTTAGAAATAATAAAATGTGTAAAGAGATTTATAACTGATATGGTGTTGGAAAGAGATCTAACAAATCAAATATGTATGGATTTGGCTAAGTATATCGAAATTATACCCCGTGCGACAGATATACTGTTTTACGATAGGTAATATAATGAAAAATATATATATACTGGTCAATATACCATTGGAGATTTTAAATATTAATCATTACCTGTGACTATCTTCTCAAATAACCATCTAAATCTCATTCTAATATGTACGTTAATCATATAATAGACTCGCCGCGTAAATATAAATATTATTGTAATACGCGAGCATTGCTCGCGTAAACGTTAATAATAGTAATAATTATTAAAAAGAGTCCCAAATCATTGAGAGAGCAGCGAGAAAACGAGTGTTCTAGTATTCTACCTTGAATAGAAATTGCGCGATGTCAACTCAAATGCAGCGATATGTCCCGGCCACTGAGACTACCCCTTCGTATATGGAAATTAATCAAAATGGTGTTTGGATTGTTTGGAATAGAATTTACGACGATGAAAACTTTGGAAAGAACGAAAAGACTAAGGAGGACGATCTGGAATCTCAGCATCATACTGTAACGGGCTGTGACTACGTATATATATATATAATAGTAATAATATATAAGTAATATATTATATTATATGGTATTAGGTAAAGTACGATTATAACATATATATCATGTTCAATAATAGACGTAAATGCTATAGGGAGCGCGTAACCCCGGTAATAGTAATAATATCGGTATCCGAGCGGTTACATCAAAAGAGAACTAATTAATGACGGCCACATCAATAAGAACACGAGATAGGTATAAGCGCGCAATATCCATATTCTATATAGGAAAGACGAAAAAGCCGTAAAAAAAGCACAAATAGATAACTTTGGAAACATATAATCCATAATTAACATTAATTCTAGAGGACGCCAGAAATGACGTCAGGTGTACGCCGCTATGTACTATACTAAAATGCCATAGGAGGGATCTATTAGGAACACCGACAAGGTACGTCGATGGACAAGTGTCCATCAGACGAACGCCAGCCGAGACGACGAGCACCAGTAGAGCAGCTACCAAGTCGATACTAAGTCACATCTCGTTCACCACATATTTATAAATTAATTATTTGGACTTAGTCTATTTTATGTGTTAAATAAATACAACTGAACTATCATTATAAAATCAACTTTTTATTTAATTAAAAATACCATCAGAACTGAGTTGAAGTGGTTGGTACGTTACAAAATTGGCGCTGTGGACAGGGTATCTCAAAAGGATACTTAGAAGAAACCGGAAGAACAATTAAAAAAAAAAATTCTAAAATTCAATCAAGGAGGAAAATTCATCACTGGATCACCGTTGGGAGATTGATCACCTTCCAGCAACTCCGAGAAAGAATCCTGTATAACTACGTAACACCCAACTACAATCAACATTTCAACCGAGCAAATGGAAGCACCCGCTGTACCAGCTGCGTTGTTGTAAGTATGCTTACGTAATTAATATCGTGGTGTTCGTCTCCTATGGTATATGCATGACCATAGTATATATATAAGCAAAAAAAAAAATGCGCAAATATACAAGCATACGACCGATAATAGTTAATGAAACTGAGCTACGACAAATATGAACTCGTACGCAGAAAGGAATAGTACATACACAGTTAGAACCCGTTAAGCGAAACAGAAAAGCCAAAATGCCAGGAAAAATTCCATTAGACAAAGCCACTCTAACCACCCTCATGATTCCCACATGTACCGGCGAACGGGACGTGTACCAATTTATAAAAGCATGCGATTTAGCATGTTCACCCGTAGAAAAGGAAGACCTACCCATACTTATGAAATTTATTAATACTAAACTATTCGATCAGGCTCTGAATGTATGTCGATATCGGGATATGAATGATTGGGAAGGTATTAAATTAATTTTGTTTGCATTCGAACCACAACAATCGACATCGTCATTACAAGTGGCATTAAATTCCGTACGCATGCGAAGTAACGAAGACGTACATATGCGCGACGTGTAGAACAATTATATTTTAATTTATGCGTAGCTAGTACTGTTGGCTACCCTGTTTTTTGTAAAGGGCTTGACCATTCAGTCTTGGTTACAGTCAGTCGCAGAGTACCGGTTGTGGGCTCTGTTCGTATATTGTGTGTTGTTCGTTTATGCATTTAATAAAACTGTTTTAATAAGTACAATTCGTTTGTCTTCGTCTAAACCTATTAGTAACATTTTCAGAAGTGGGATAATAAATCCATAGTTCGCGAGTGTAGTTGCCGTTTTGATTTCGTTTTAACACGGGAAACGGTTGGTGCTTATTACATTCATTAGTCGCTACTGGTGTTGCGAAACCACGAGGTTTAGTGGTAATAGTGTGCGGAGGAAGCACGATGACGAAGACCAATTACTCATAGATATATTGGTGAGAGTGAAGCGGGGTTCAGTTATCAGAAAATTACCATATATAAGTGATGTCCAGTACAGATAATCGAATGCAGCGGTATGTCCCGCAAGCCGGGACCGTGCCATCCTATCTTGAGATCAACAGGAATGGAAAATGGATTAGAGTATATGATGACGAGACTTATTCCGAGCCTTCAAATGCCGAGCCCTTAATAAAAAGAGAGAACTCAAATAATGTTATAATGTTACTATACCTAGTGTGCCATCTGTGGTTAATGCAGGGTGACACTGAGAAGTCACTACACTTAGTGTATGCGGTGAGCAAAAGAGCAACCGAAGCGGAATCACATTATCACTCCAGTAGACTTGAATTATACGCGATTGTATGGACGTTAATTCGATTGAGGCCATATCTGCTTGGAATCAGATTCACAGTGGTGACTGATTGTCAGGCTTTGGTATATTTGAACACCAACAAGTCAGCAAAGCCACAGGTGGCTCGTTGGTTCGATATATTACAAGAATTTGAAATGAATATCAAGTACCGATCAGGCGAGCGGATGGCTCACGTTGATGCATTGAGTCGTTTGGAAGGTACTACGGACAGTGTACAAGCAGTAGAAGAAGCATTGGATAATCGATCCTTGGTTATGACATTAATGACTTTGGAAGAACGTGTACGATACATGCAACAAGCTGATCCTGATACATGTCGATTAGTCACATCTCGTTCACCACATATTTATAAATTAATTATTTGGACTTAGTCTATTTTATGTGTTAAATAAATACAACTGAACTATCATTATAAAATCAACTTGTTATTTAATTTAAAATACCATCAGAACTGAGTTGAAGTGGTTGGTACGTTACAATACTATAGCTATTAAGGAGACAACAGTGACAAATATACCTTTATATCAGAAAGAGACTAAAATCAAATTAAATAAAGTGTTAGAGGATATTAAGGATGTTGCGAACAAAGTGAGCGTGTTAAGTGTATCACTGTGGGTTGGCTACGTTTTAGCTTTCTTATTCTTTTTGATTTGCTTTATATCAGGTTCGAGTTATGAGTGCAGACATAAATAATAATATCGCTGATACCATGTGGAGCAACGACATAATATATACCGCGCGAAGCTAATAATATCGAACGCATGACCATGAACGGCGCGCGGCAATAGATATATGACTACGTATATAAATAATTCTAAAATACTGTGAACTAGGATTTGTGCTGTTATACTAAATAACAAGATGTAATCGGATGACATCCGGCGCGGGTGACAAATCCCACAATAGGCCTAACCGCAGGATGACCATGTATGACCATGTGAATCTGTGGAAGGGACTGGAGAGACCCACCGAGGAGAGCTGATGGACAAGCGTTCATCAGACGAGCAACCAGCCTCAACTTTAACAGTCACACTAAATACTAGCAGTCACAACTCGCTTAAGTCAATTATTTGGACTTAGACTATTTTTCATAATAACTGTTTGCATAAATAAATACAAATTATTACCATCATCGAGGAGTTACTCAATTTACTTCCTACATTTCATCTGCTATAGTAGTTGGCACTTAACAATTGTATGAATACAAAATGTATATACCAGAACCAGAATATTTACTGGAATCTTTAGATCAATATATGAAATAGTAAAAAAAAATCTGGGAATACTTATATTTTAACCATGCAAGATGATATTACCAAATATTCATTGGGAGTGCCTTTACCAAATCACACAGCCAATACTGTAGCTGAAGCTTTCGTAGTACATTTCGTTTGTATTCATTGAATACCAGAGACCATATTAACTGACCAAGGGACAGATTTTCAAAGCAAAACATTCACAGAAGTATGCAAACTTTTAAAAATTAATAAGATAAATACTAGCCCGTATCATCCACAAACAAATGGGGGATTGGAAAGATCGCATAGAACTTTAGCAGAATATCTTCGACATTATGTAGATAAAGATTTAAACACCTGGGATCAATTATTACCTTATGCGTTATTCGTTTACAATTCGACAGAACATTCGCCCATGAATTATCAACCCTATACACTGTTGTATGGAAAGGAAATAAACATTCCAGTAAATTTGAAAAGTAAACCAGAACCTAGATACAATTACGATGATTATTTATATGACCTGAAACTAAGAATGCAGGAGTCTCACAAGATAGCAAGGGAAAGGTTAATAAAGAAAAAGATTAAATCAAAAACAAATTACGATAGCAATGCACATAGTGAAGAGTTGCATGTAAAGGATTCTATATTATTACGAGATATCACTCAGAGAAATAAGTTAACACCTCTATGGAAGGGACCTTTTGAAATTTTAGAAATATTAGATACTGAAAACATTGTTATTCAAAGAGGAAGGAAAAAGGTCACCGTACATAAGAATGATGTGAAGAAGTACCATGAGAATCCCAGTTAAAATAATTATTAGTTAGTACGTAATAGGTAGATATAAAGATTTAACCAACATTTTAACTATAGGAATAAAAATCAACTGTTCTGTATTAATCTGGACAATGCAATTTTGCTTGAAACTCATGACACAAGCACAGTAGGAGGCGGTAATTTACCAAAGTGTCTACCAAGACACATAGAAAACGCAAACGAGCTGTTAGACGAACCCTTTTCGGAAAGCGAAATCAGAAGGATAACTCAAAGTATTGTAACCTTTTTATATGATGTGTCGAAGAGGAAAGGGAGATTGGGGAAACAATGTTGCATGGATCTGGTCGATTACAAGATGTATATACCAGAGCCAGAAATTTTAATGGAATATGTAGATCAATATATAAAATAAAAAAAAAATTTAAATTAAATATAATGAAAAAAAAAATGTATTAAATTAAAAATTATTGATATTGTAGTTAGATACCTTGTTATATATATTAAGAACGATTATTTACGTCAACAGACCGCCTGTAGGACCACCTATAGGCACAGCGACCATTTTTTACCGAGAAATAAGGCCACCACCGATAACAGGGGAAGAAAGTAAAGCGGAGCTTAGAGCTGGTGCAAGACTGGCTTATCGAGTAACGCGCGAATTCTATGAGACCAATCCGGAGATAAATCGAGGGGCATGGAATCACTATGCCATGAGGTGCATGGCAAAAGGAAGGGGGATGGCCATGCGAGAAGCCTACGAAAATTCTAATAGGCGGCAGAATTAAAACGTTAATTGGAATATTTTTTTTTAATTTTTTTTATTTTATAATTTGGTTATTTTTATTAAAAGTCGTATTTAGTTAAAATTGGACCTCTTGTTTTTATTCATTAACAACTCTAATTAATTCAACCAATTGAATTCTAGGGAAAGACAACTGAACTTTTTACTGGAGTTAGAACAGGCTATTGGAAGTGAATCCCACCATGTTAACGTATTGAACCCAGAAGAACTACCCGTTTTCCTGCTAAGAAATATAAGCACAGCAAATCAAAGGTTGACCGAACCATTTTCAAGATCCGCATTAAGGAAAATTACTAGGAGTATTGCGCGATTTTTATATGCTATGACCAAAAATAGGGAACAGAACGAATGTTTTTGTAGAACATTGTTAGAATTTTTGGACATCGTCCTCGAACCAGAAGACCTACTGGCATATAACGAATAGTATGATAACAATTTGATTATATTATAGATGAATTGGGGTACTGGTGATTCAAGGTCAACCAGGGATTCCGGAAGGAGTGATAAGGGAAACTAAAATAGTGTTTGACGCAGAATATCCAGTAACCTTACCAATAAATAACCTTTTCCCAAATGTAACTATTAATTCAATTATAATTACCCAACAAACAATTAAGGAAAATGTAACAAAACCAATGAGTGCCACAACCGAGTCTAGGAATGTAACTATTGTCAGTAAATCACACATAACCACCAACACTCTTGAGAAATCCACCCAAGCTAATGACATGAAGGAAATCACCAAGTCCAGCGAATCAGTAAAGACCACTACTATCATCTATGATCCAGTACGAGAAAAAGGGTTAGAATTTGAATATGTATATGTAATATGTGTAATAATGGGAATAATAATATTAGCAATGATTATAGCAGTAATTAATTTATGTCATTAAAGTAATAGGAAGAAGTCGATTTGATTATTTGAATCCAATAACGGTTAGATCTTATTCAACTCGTGTTAATCTAGAGTTATCAGAAACAAGGTTATAATTAATAGTAAACAAGGTAATCAAGGTAATAGTTTTCTTAATCAAAATACCTTTAGTAACTGAACTCGAATTAACATTATTTAAAATAATTCCAATTCCACACAAAATTAATTTCAATCATAGTATAATACTAAAACCAGAATTCCAGTATGTAGGCATAACTAGGAATAGGAGACAATTCACAACGTTCACCGAGACACAATTACTAAGCTGTACCGAAACAGAAATTTTCAACATATGTCCAGAATTTCAGCCAATACAACATGAGTCGGTAAGACAACCATGTGAAATTTCATTATTCAAAAATCCTGAATTATTACCCAATAACTGTGAAGCAGGAATCATACTAATATCGAAGAACATTTACCATAAACTAAAGTACGCAAATACATGGATTTATTCCACTACTAGCGACACATTGATAATAACGTGTCAAGGGGAACAGGAACAAAGTAAAATTGTGAAATCAAGGTTTGATAAATTTAACACAGGAATGCAGAGCTTATGCTAGCGACATAGTCTTGAACCCTACCAGAGAAATTAAGTCAAAGAATTACGTCAACTTTATACCTAAATTAGGAATAGGGAGTTTAGCTTTAAAATTTCCTAAAATAAATTCATTGACAATACCAAAATATACCCAAAAGCTTGATTTATTAAGACTGAATAACGTCCATGAATTAGCTCATTCATTGAATGACATACAATCAATGGTAGACAAAGAAATGGATAGGCAAAACGGGAATGCAGACCAAACTAAACCATATTTAATCTATGTTTTATTAGGCTTATTGTTATTTTCATTAATATTGGTTTTATTATTGTACGTAGTGTACGTGTACACTAAAAACTTAAGAGGTACACGCTCCATGAGAGTAAGACCTATTGAGGAGCCAGTAAGTAAAAGTAAGTTTTTCAGACAGACAATTTATGAACCAATGAATAAAGGTAGTATGTCATACGATTTGCAAGGACCAATAGTGCAACGTAAGTCGTATGAGGAAGGTGATAAAAACATACAAGAAACCTCATTTTCAGATACTATTGATAGGAATATAAGTACTAATTCCGCTAACTTACCAGCAATAATAGATAGATAATTAATAACGTAACTAAATTGTAATTTATAAATAGTAAATGTATAATTAATTTAGATATTCATATTTGTATATAAAGAGAATACCCACAAGTTCGTAATAATGGATTTTGAATTCACCAATATCCATTAAACCAGTAAGGTCCTCATATCAGGAGCTATTTCAAATAGCTTGGACCGTTTTAAAATAAGGAAGTTAGAAGGACGACCATTATACTTACCAGAAGACGGGGAAGTACGACCAATGAAAGACCGTGAAGTATAAGTTGCACAGAGAGCGTAGGCTCGGATTTTTAAGGCGAAAACAGAACTGCGAGACATATGTTTGGAACAACTAAACCAGAGTCTAAGAGCCCCAGTAAATAGTTTAAATGCGACCTATATACGAAACTATATACTGCGTGGTGAAAAGATTAATGTGTTAGTAGTATGGGAAGGTAGTTCTGATAAGATCGTTCTAAAAAGATTAGGAATAACGGAGTTTCCGATATTAAATTTAACTTGTTTTGATAAATATTTTAATAAGCAATTTAATATGCGATTGGAAACGGTAAACCCTAAAACGATAATTTTTGAAATAGAAGTAGGTACTTATGACAAATCAGGAAGAACCTTAAATCTTACTGAGACACATAACTTAATTTGCAGAAAATAGCTTGGACCGTTTTAAAATAAGGAAGTTAGAAGGACGACCATTATACTTACCAGAAGACGGGGAAGTACGACCAATGAAAGACCGTGAAGTATAAGTTGCACAGAGAGCGTAGGCTCGGATTTTTAAGGCGAAAACAGAACTGCGAGACATATGTTTGGAACAACTAAACCAGAGTCTAAGAGCCCCAGTAAATAGTTTAAATGCGACCTATATACGAAACTATATACTGCGTGGTGAAAAGATTAATGTGTTAGTAGTATGGGAAGGTAGTTCTGATAAGATCGTTCTAAAAAGATTAGGAATAACGGAGTTTCCGATATTAAATTTAACTTGTTTTGATAAATATTTTAATAAGCAATTTAATATGCGATTGGAAACGGTAAACCCTAAAACGATAATTTTTGAAATAGAAGTAGGTACTTATGACAAATCAGGAAGAACCTTAAATCTTACTGAGGCACATAACTTAATTTGCAGAAAAAAACATAAAGTCACACATGCACACGACCCACGAACGGATGTCATATATACAAAATGTATTTTTGATTTCGTCGTGCGAAATTACAGATATGAAAACTTAATTAAACATTTTAAATAAAAAAAAAAGAGAAAAAAAAACTTCAAATTTCAAAATTCAAAATTGCAAATAACAACATTTTAATATTATAGGGAACAGTAATCTAAAAATGGATAGGAATGAACAATTATTGCAAGTACTTTGTTGAAATATACAATTAATATTAGTATTCAAACCATGTAAACACACGTGCGTGTACAATGTCGTTTTCTAATAGATACTTATGCAGTTACGATATAGCTGTGTAACACCTTTACTATCGCTTTCTATATTATATACGGATACGGGATGGCCTCGATTGTTCATATAAATAGGGCCTTTGATGTATGTAATATTCACTTGCACAGACGCTGTCATACCGAGTGTACGCGGTGTGTGTGTATAGTCACAGTTTAATTGTCCAGTTGTACGTTATTATATATTATACTTATACATAATCATATTGTCGTGTTATTACTTATTATATTAATGCTAACATCATTAGTCCGTCAAGCTTCACTTTCAACATACTTAACATTAGTTTAGCAATCCAGACACACACGAACTCAGAACAAGGAGAATGGTATAACTTTACAGAATGTTTTGACTATCATATAATTTCTGCTAATAATGCAATACTTGTACCATACGAAAGCAGAGAGGTTTTGGAAATAATAAAATGTGTAAAAAGGTTTGTAACTGATATGGTATTGGAAAGGGATCTAACAAATCCAATATGTATGGATTTGGCTAGGTACATCGAAATTATACCCCAAGCAACAGATATACTGTTTTACGATAGGTACCTAGTATAAACAAAATAATATATACAGGTCAATATACCATTGGAGATTTTAATTATTAAGTACTATTATAATTGTTATTAATCAAATATCACTATTAACCATCATTTTATTGTAGTAAGCAAGTTACTACCTAACAATAAAACAAATTCCACAGGTACATAATTAGTATAATATACTGTAGGTCGGCATAAATCGGATATTAGAAACGGAAATAGGATTTCCTACTGTTTAGCATAAGAAGACAGGCTCACTGAATAATATAATTACTCAGGAAGCCCTGTATACGACAATATTCAAATATAAAAATATAAAAGAGTAGAATGATTATTTCAATTGAATCATAGATTAGCATTTTAGCAATACGCAGAATTATACTGGGAAGTCATAAAATGCGTGGGCTGGAACGATGACCACACAAATCACATCCGTGAGCCGAGATACATAGGCAAGAGGTACGGGGAACTTCATATAAAAGGGAGCCCGAATCGGCCTGTTTTCAGACGTGTACTACCATCCATTAGTGCAAGCACCTTCACGCCACTTTGTACAATATTATTTTGGACTTAGAAAAATTTATTTTTGTTCAATTATTACTTCCATTTCTACGAGTAACGCGGAGTAGCACGTTCAATGGTGAATCTATTCAAATTAGTACATACTGTGATATTAACTCAATACAGTCAACTAAACATAATGTTTATTCCTAAACAACGAAAAAAATAGTATTGAGTGCAAATGACGATTTTTTAATAGATGGAAAACCTCATTGTTCAACTCAAAAACTATGCTGAACGAAAAAGATAAAGCAGACAATACAATAATATCAGCATTTAATAATTTACAAGATTTATTAATGGATAAGTTTATGTGTAACAACACCAAAAAAATTGAATCTTATAAATAATAACAATATGTTTATATTATTATAGTTTTTACTAGATGGAACCCCGCCACTAATATTTGTGCATTTTTTATTTATTACCAAACGATTAAAATATTTGTATTCAATTTTATTTTAGAAAGCTTACAATTAATTCAATAATTTATACAATATGATTATATCATGGAAAATATATTTATAATTTATATTATTATCATTTGTTTTTAAATAAAGGTATACATTTTACAAAATGTGATACATATAAATAATGTTTATTATGAAGGTATAATTTAATTATTAAAAAGTAAGCTGGCCGTATATCATGATTATTTTGGTTTTATTGATTGATTATATCAGGCTTTAATATAATGTCTGCAAACGTTCCGTGATGGATTTATAACGACAGCGTTTACCAATATTCCTCTATTACAACTACGGGAAGCCATGGAATCAGAGAATTTGAGTGTGGACAATCTAGTACACGTGGCCCAGATTTTAACGGATTTAAAACTGCAGGTGGGAACACAATTTCACATTTCAGTCTGGATAATTTTAATTTCTCTATGGCACCCGGAACATTTTGCGACACTGATGAACCCAAAAAAATGGACGACTACGAATCTGGCCCGCGACGAGCTACTGGAGGAATACAATATGGAGGATACTTCAATGAGAGACAGAATCAAGGCCTTATTGCTCGTGGCTCGCCAATTTATGAGCACCTGCTTGGAAGAATTGTCGATGGAATTTGTGACATCGATTTTCGAGGAAATGATCGATACATCAGCGACGTTATTGTCCCCCGTGGACCTAACGGAGTTGATGAAGTTACTGCAGGGTTACAAAATATGTTGCGACAGTACCCACCAAAGCTCCCAGTCATCGTCACAGCCCATGGCGACCATGTCCATTGACGCAATCTGCCGACAATCAAACTCGGCTTGTCGGTGTGTATGGCACACACTAATTCAGACCAAGGAGAATGGTATAATTTTACAGAATGCTTCGATTTTCACATAATTTCAGCCAATAATTCTATATTGGTACCATATGAAACTAAAGAAGTATTAGAAATAATTAGATGCGTGAAAAGATTTTTGACAGATATGGTTATAGAAAGAGATCTAGCAAATCCAATCTGTATGGATTTGGCTAGGTATATTGAAATTATACCCAGAGCGACAAATTTACTGTTTTATGAAAGGTAGTAATCATGAACAAATTTTATTTTTAAAATATTATTTAATAATATACTGGTTTATAATGCCATTGGAGATTTTAAATATTAATTATTACTATTAACCAACATTTTTTTGGAATCATTGAATATATTATATATGTAAACTAACATGAAATAAATTATTGTATTGAATGTTGTATTGGAAACGATTGTATTATTGTTTAATCAAATTACTAATGAATATTTTTATTGTATTTAAAATATATATATAATATTATAATATGTGAAATAACTAACAAAAATATTATTATGTCGTTACATAACGAGCTGTGACTACGTATATATTAATAATAGTAATAATATATTAAAAAATATAATATTATATTATATTGTATTAGGTAAAATACGATTATAATATATATATTATATTCCATGATAGACATAAATGCTGCAGGGAGCACGTAACCCCGGTAATAGTAATAATATCAGCATCCGGGCGGCCACATCGATAAGAACTAATTAATGGTACAGCGCGAACACGTGATAGGTATACGCGCGCAATATCCATATTCTAGGAAAGACGAAAAAGCCATAAAAACTACAAATAGATGACTTTGGAAACATATAATCCGTAATTAACATTATTTCATAAAAGACGTCAGAAATGACCTCAGGCGGATGCGGCGCGTGTACCATTTTTGTACTAAAAATTCCATAGGAGGGATCTATTAGGAATACCGACGAAATACGTCGATGGACAAGTGTTCATCAGACGAGCACCAACAGAGCAGCCACCAAGTCAAATAATAAGTCACATCTCGTTTACCACAGTTTTATAAGTTAATTATTTTGGACTTAGTATATTTTACGTTTTAAATAAATACAAATAAATATCATTATTACCATCAACTTGTTATTTTATTCAAAATACTACCAATACTAAGCTGAAGTAGTTGGCTCGTTACAATTGTATTAATTTAATCAATTATAATACTCTAGTCGAGTAATCTAGTCAAAAATGTAATTATCATGTAAATTGTCATGAATAATACAATTATTAATCAAATTGTATATCTATGTAAACCTATGTAAACCTATGTATCAAACTTATGTATGCGAATTGTATATTGTAATTGTATTTTGCAAATTATGTTAATTTTAAACTTAAATCTTATGTAAAATTTTAAAGATTTTTGTAGCCCTACAAAAACCTTTGATAGGGCGGTGAGGTGTAGCGAACTGTGACTATCTTACCAAATGACTTGTCTAAATCACATTATAATATGTATAATGTATATATATATATATATATATATATAACGTTATATCTGAAATAACTAAGTCACATCTCGCTATTTCACAGTTTAAATATAAATATTTTGACTTAGAATATTTTTCATTATAATATATATTCATTATATTTGCACAAAATAAATACAAGTTGATATCATCATCGAGGTGTTATATCAATTTACTTCCATCTATACGAGTAAAGTGGGGTGGCACGTCATTGCATTAAAATATAGTCGTTAGATACCATAGTAATTAATAGAAGGGGGAAAATTAGAGTTAGAAACGCAGCATATTAAGCAAGAATATATATACATATTTATTAAATGATATTACGCAATAACAATTATTATAGTAGAAAGGAATCACACGGATTCATAATCATGGATTTTGAGTTTTCCATGATTAATCATACATGTATGGTCGTAATAAGCGGAGCCATATTGAACAGCCTCGACAGGTTCAAGGTCAGGAAACTGGAAGGCTGTCCAGTCGACGAACAAATCCGGTCCATGAAGGGCCACGAATTACAAATCGCAAAGAAAGAAATTAATAGAATTTTCAGGTGTAAGGAAATATTGAGGGATGTATGCTTAGACCAGTTAAATAAGAGCTTATCGTCCAAAATTAATAATCTAAACCCTGCATATATCGATAATTACTTTCGGCGAGGAAATAAAACAAGCGTACTTGTTTTATGGAATGGGCACTCACACAAAACGATTTTAAAAAGATTAGTGATCGATAACTATCCGATAATTAATATCACATGCTACGACAAAACTTTTAACCAAAACTTAACAATAATTTTAGAAAAACTACATTCGAAAGAAATAATCTTTGAAACAGATATAGGACACGTGTAAAAACAATGACAGTTATTAAATTTAGAAGAAACTCATAGCGCTATTTGTTCTAAAACACATAGGATCACATACGCGCACGACCCAAAAGCAGATGTCAAATTAACCAAATGTATCTTGGACTACGCAGTAAGGAAACACGGAACATCGGACACTCCCACATGAAGTAATCAGGGTAACCCAAACGATATAGTGGATTTTATTATAAAAATACAGGCCACCACTAGTGACGTATGCAGTTCAGTGGTAGAAATAGGAGTCATACCACATATATCTTTATTCTTTTCACCTAAAATTTTTATATTACTTAATTATCTAACTTTTTATACCTCACACATTAACATTTATATATTATTCCCGAAACAATTTATTTCACTATTCTAATTACTTAAAAAAAATATATAATTTTTTACGATGGACTCGTTAGTCCAAAGGAGATGTGATAAGCTTACAATTTTTTTTTTTACGCACTAAAAAAAAATATTACAACTCACAACGCTAGCTGCTGTTGCTTCCCCTTGCTGACGTCATCTGTTGTCTGTCGTCTTGCGCTAGCGGTTGCAATGGAAGTTCTAACCCTCGGAGTCGTTGGTAGGTGATCAATCTTCCAACGGTGGTTCTAATAAATTACCTCCATGAAAATCTAAGAAGTCAAAAAAATAAATTTTCAAATAAAAAGTTTTCAGTTTTTTGAAAAAATAATTTTACAAAAGTTTATGAGTATTCTTTGACTTTGGACTTCCTTCGGTTAGAATTAACCTAGGAATTAACATTTAGATAAAAAAAAACATTCGGTGAAGTAGGTGCACCATTACATATTACTTTACCTAATCTACAAGACTGCGGGCAATAACGAGTTAATAAGTTAAAGTTAAGTTCCTTTTTTTTTAGAAGTAACTTCTAACTTAACAAGTTACATTTTTCCCCATGTTATTCAGTAACTTAACGAGTTAATTAATTTTATTGGCATGTTAATTTTTTCCCAAACCACATATTTAAAATTAATTCAATTTTGTAAAATTAATTATATAAAAAAAAAACCCCGACATATTAAATATATTTTAGTAAATAATAATTCATAATAATAGTAAGTTATTATATTGCATATCACAGAAAATATTAAAAAACTATATTATAGACGGAAATGTTAAAGGGGTAACCGCGTCATTAATAAAATAAAACAATTTACTCAGTATCTACCCATACTGCACGGCATAATATTATAACCTAATCTATACCTAATTATTATTAATATTATTACTTATTATATTTGTAACGAGCTGTGACTACGTATATATTATTAATAGTAATAATATATTAAATAATACATATATTATATTATATTGTATTAGGTAATATACGATTAGAATATATATATTATATTCAAAAATAGACATAAATGCTACAGGGAACACGTAACCCCGGTAATAGTAATAATATCAGCATCCGGGCGGCCACATCAAAGAACTAATTAATGGTACAGACGTACAGCGCGAACACGTGATAGGTATACGCGTGCAATATCCATATTCTAGGAAAGACGAAAAAGCCATAAAAAGTACAAATAGATGACTTAGGAAACATAAAATCCGTAAATAACATTATTTCATAAAAGACGTCAGAAATGACCTCGGGCGGATGCGGCGAGTGTACCATTTTTATACTAAAAATGCCATTAGAGGGATCTATTAGGAATACCGACGAAATACGTCGATGGACAAGTGTCCATCAGACGAACACCAGCCGATCAGACGAGCACCAGCAGAGCAGCCACCTAGTCAAATACTAAGTCACATCTCGTTTACCACAGTTTTATAAGTTAATTATTTTGGACTTAGTCTATTTTACGTTTTAAATAAATACAAATAAATACCATTATTACTGTAGCGAGCTGTGACTATCTTGCCACATGGCTTGTCTAAAACACATTATAATGTATACGTAATCATATAATATTCGCACCGCGTAAATATAAATATTACACTGGAGCGCTTCCTCGAATAGTAATAATAATAATATCAATAATAGTAATATCGAGTGCGTGACCATGAGCGGCGTGTAACAATAGATATATGACTACGTATATGAATAATTCTAAAAAATAATATAGTTTAGATTTGTGCTGTTATGTTAAATAACACCACAAATGTGTGATATAGATATATGTGGACTTCCGGCGCGTGCAAGCGTATGAATCACGATAGGCAGGACCATGTATGGTCTTAAAACTGATGGAGGGGATAGGGACAGAGACCCCTCCAGGAAAGCTGATGGACAAGCGTTCATTAGACGAGCAGCCAGCCTCAACTCGAACAGACACCAGCTAAATACTTAGTTCACAACTCGCTTATAACCGTTTTACTTAAAATAATTATTCTGGACTTAAAATAATATTGCATAACTATTTTATTTGAGTACAATAAATACAAATTATAAGTCATCTTCGTGAATCAATTCAATTTACTTCCTACATTTCAACAACTGTAGTAGTTAGCACGTAACATTACCATCAACTTGTTATATTATTCAAAATACTACCAATACTGAGCTAAAGCAGTTGGCTAGTTACATATTTGTATTTATTCATAGAGTTACAGCGATAACTTGACCCGTCGGTGTAAATAATAGTATAATACCCGTAGTAGCGCGGTGGTTCATAGTATTTACGTATTTCTAAATTCTTACTATTAATTGAATAGTAGTTACCTAAGTAGTTCAATAATAACTATAAACTAGTGCATTTTAAGTTTTAACATTATTAAAATTTTAAAATTTCGACCGAAAATTTGAAATAAAAAATTAACAAGATCTGATTTAATTAAAATCACCTAGGTAAATTACAACAATTAGTTTAACCCGACGTTAGTGGCATTATTGTATATTACGTCATTGGTTACCTTGCGGTCTTTTCGTTATATTTGTCAATAATAAAAAACGTTTCATATTTATGAATTATATGTATATCTAAACAAATATTACTGTTTCATACAATTTTTAAAATTTATATAATATAGTTATAAAAATTAACTTCCTTATGCATCAAATTGATAATAGGAATGTACGAATTATATGAAGTATCAGGGCAATTGGCAGGCATTTAGAGTTTTCAAAAATACCCTTGGCAGCCAAGCTGTTAAATTTATTTAGAAAATGATTATAGTAATTTTAATAATATTTGTAAAAGGTATATTGAGTGTCAATGATTGAAATTTAAGATTCATATGTTTTATTCAAAATGTAAAAATGTAGGTACAATCATTTTGAGCATATAGCCAGACTAAAGTCGGGTTAAGGAACATTTTCGTATAATGAATGAAATCAATTTTTAATAGCTATAGTCTAAGAACCCATATTCTAAAGATTATTGTAAAATGTATAAATACCTGAATTATGCATTCCATAAGATACTCTCGGGCAATTGCATCTTGACAACTGACAATTTGTTCCAAAATACCAGGTAAAACTTCCTGTAAAATGATAATGAAGTAAAATGTCATTAAAATAAATTAGGAGATTACTTATAGGATAGATTAAAAATATTACGGAAGTTCTTCGACTTTGGACGTCCTGCTGATGTCGGTTCCATTTCCAACTGCGCCGAAATGTAGCGTACACCCGCTTACAAGAGACGCTTCCATGATGATGCGGGTGGTTGAAATACTTAAACGCAAACTGAGTGAAATTATATTGTATGGCTGTCGTTACGTATTATTTGTTGCAACAAATGTAGTTTAAACTGATCAAGACTGTCTAGATCAGAGAAGGTCGCTTGTGTGTCAGAAAATATACCCAAGATTGCTCGAATATTTTTTAAGTCACGAAAAAAAAGGTAGTTGATCGAAATAAATAATCTGAGCCGAAAAGTGTAAGTTCAACAAGAGGTCTGGCGCGGAGGTGCTCGTCGCCACTTGGTGAAATCACGTCTGAGGACGGGCCGTTTCTGGTCTCAATATATAATGGTAACCCTCTACTCTACTTGTCCCTGGCGACTCGTGTCGCCGTTTCCCACGTTCCATGCGGGTCGCCCCTTCCATAATTTAATCAGCTAGTTCTCGTATAGTATATGCCTCGAGTCTGTGACTCAGCTGGGTTGCAGATGTGCCCATTGTGCCCACTGCCGGCTAGTCCTTTGATCAATTCGGCGTTTGGTTATTCGTGTAGTCTTGCCACGGTGCCAAGTCATATTCACAAAATCTACTACGCCCGATGATTTCCCCCACTATCATATATTTTACGAGCTCTTGCCGGTGGCCCGTTCTGTCGCATCTGGCCTTGACTATTAATATATCTATCCCTCTCCCAGGGTCTGGTCGTAACGCTGTGGCTGTCCCTGACATCCTGACTATCGTATGTGTGTGCGAGTATAATATAGTATATTATATATTGCGTATTGTTAGTAAAACTATTCTACTTTACTAGAATAGAGACTCGGATCAGGATCTGGTTACCTTCGATAATAGATTTATAATTTATATTAAAAAAGAAAAGCGTTTCGGCGTATAACTTTTATTACGTACAGTTCAAGACATTTACTTATAAACAACGGTATCGAGGCGGTTACACTTATAACTCAAAATTACAGTATTGAAGTATTCTATGACAACTGGTTATCGGTCATTTACGGTCGCCGGGGACGCGGGACAAAACGGTGTCACAGGTCGCTACGAATAAAACAACAGAACTGCCGAGCATACTAAGCAGTAAGCAATAAGCATAGACAAAGAAAATAAGCCGAGTGCCGGGCGTGCCGCCGTCGCGGTTGTCCGTGCCGGTTTGGGAGCGATGCGCAGTGTGACCAACACAGTGCCTCGGCCCTTACAACATACACATAGTAACTCGCCTTGAGTATAATAAATTTAAAAAAAACTTTTGTCGCTAACAGTATTATAATTATGTGTAGAGGCGGAGTCTACACAGGGTAGGAGACCCCCCTGTCCGTACGCAACAGACTTATAAACAAACAAGTACCACATCCGAATTTCCTAATCACGAACATACAAACAATTAATACTTGATTGTCTAAAAGTGTCGAAATATTTCAACATAATGGATATGCAGCAGGGCTTTCTGAACATTCTACTTGGTAAAACAGACCGATATAAAATAGCGTTTATTACCCCGTTTTGATTATATGAGTGGACAAGGTTTCCATTAGGATATAAAAACTCTCCAAGACAGTTTTCTAAAGCAAAAGCTACTGCTCTCTCTGGACTAATTTATTTGGGCACCATTAATTATGTAGATCAGGGATGGCAAATAAGTGACACGCAAGAATATTATTTTATTACCTATTATATTTTTATACCTTGAAAGAAACAGTAGATATTAACCAGACATAAAAAAATCTTTCAAGTAATATGAAGTAAAACGTTCTAACAATCAATAAAAATTGATTTTTTCATAAATTATTTTCTTCATTATTATCATTCATTTTTCATTTATATTTTGTAAAATTCCCCATGTTAACAAATATAATTATTTGCACAACTGAAGTTTTTTTATGAATTGTGTCATAAAAAAGCACGATGAACAAATCCTATTTGTCATTCCTGCCTTAGACACTCCCAATTTACTTGCTGGAATTCCATTCAAAGTTCCTACCTATGGAATACGAAACCTACTATACCTAGTCCAGTTTTATATACCGCACTACTATACTGTCTATGGTTACAGCCATCCACTGACCACTATACATAATGCTCCGAGTTACTAGTCTAAATGTACCTTAGTTGTCTTAGCTAAGTTTTCTAGCCACTTTTACGAGTTCTGCGCTTTTTCTTATTGTTATTATTTTATAGCTATTGTTATTGTTCCTTAATTATTATTGCCACCATTCATGTATTCTTGTTAACTGTCGATTGGCTAAAAAAAATATACATAAATAAATATCAGCTATCAAAATAATTAATAAATGTTCATATTTTTTTTTTCACCCGATTGATTAATAATTATAGGACATTTTCAATTATGATTGTTGATCTCTTAAAAGTACCAACTAGTTCCAATTTGCTCTTGAAAACCTCCAGCCCAGTAGATTGTCAGAGCATTTTTTCTTCTAAAAAAAGTGTCTTCAGACACAACAAATAAAAACATATCTTCATAAAATCAATACATTTATCGCTCTGCACAGAATCTAATAAATTATAAATACATATTATTATATTATTTCATTATTTTTCATTATTATTGCTAACTGCTAAGTATATTGAGTAGTATACTTTTTTCAAATTTGACTATTTTCAATATTAAAAAATATGTTATAAATATATATGGAATGAGGTTATTTTGGAAATATATAATTTATCAATACAAATTATTATTGATTATTATTAATAAAAAATAGGATGACAATAAAAACCAATTATAGTATATCAATATTAAATTATTTAATATTCATAATAATCAAATATAGTATAATATAATATTAACATAATTTATTTAAATTATATTATATTTTATATATAAATCACAAAAACACAAATTTAATAGCTATGTATTTGTATTTTAGCAATTATAATATGAGTAATTAAAGTATAAACAATGATTAACTTTAAAATAAAATAAAAATTCAGAATATAAATATAAACATAATTATGAATAGATTGGACCTAATGAGTTAACTAAAAAATTGATAATATTATAACGTTAAACCTTCTAAAGCTTTATACACTGAATCTTCTGTATCGGCAGATTCAATTCTGTTTTGTAAATATGCGATTGTATTCTCAAAATGTTTTGTAATCTGTTCAGTTTCTTCATTTGGAGTTAAACCAGTTATTTCCTTTTTTATCTGACCTATTAACTGGTTCAATATATCCACAGATACCTAAAAAAAAAAACTGCTATATAATTCTGATAACAATAAACTATTTAAACCATGCTGGAAAATTCTTAACATTTATGAAATTATACATACATTATTATTGCCTCTTTCGTAGAAATAAACATAATAGTTTAATAATTCAACAAATAATTGAACTTGAACAGACACTTCCATACACTGTTTTGTAATGCGCACACATTTTTTTAAGCAATCCATAACTCGTTTACCATCTTGAAGCTAAAAGTATAACATAACAATAAAATATAAATTCACAAATTCATAAATACATCTTAAATACTAGTTAATTGAGTTTGAGTATGACAGCTGGTTTATTTTAAAAACTGTATAACTACAATTATATTTTTATTTTTGTTATGTTATGTTATTCAAAAAACTTCAAAAGTTTATATAAGACTTAAGTTTGAATTCATGAATACTTCAACCCAAGGGCATCCGTAAGAATTTGTCAAGGAGAGGGCCAAATATTTTCTTTTTTACATTTTTAGTCTCACTATCCTATAAGTTATAAATTATTTTTGTGACATTTTTTCTTTCATATTATAGACTAGGAATCTAAAAATATTTATGAATTATACGTACCTACATAGTTAGTTAAAACTTAAACTTGCAGCATTAATTTAAAATTATCAAATATATTATTTTTAAGAGGACGTCGTACCCGCATGTGTTGTCTCCGTCTTACACACGTAGGGTCATTTTTTGCTTTTATAATTTTTAGAGCATTTTGAAGTATTTCTAAATTTAAATTTAAAATTTTATTTTTAATTTCCACATGTTTTTATATGATTTTTATAATAAATATATGATCTAATGTCTATAGGTAGATAGATAGACCAATAGGTACAGAAAAAAATGGTTAATTTTCAGATTAAATAAGTAGTCTAAATGATAAGTTCTGTCTGTAAAACTTTTTTATAATCATTTAAAAGTTTAAAATGAATATTAGAATTTATATATTTAATATTAAAAATAAAAATAATTTAGTGAATTTTTTAGGTTTTTTAGAACATTAAGATCATCAATAATAATATAGGTATGATAATCAACCCAGAAAAAGCCAAGGGAGGGGCAACTGCCCATACTTTCCCCCCCTGCGAACACCCTTGCAGTTCAACCCATCCATAGAATTGTTCATTTTCTTACCGGTTGTCCAACATTATTTTGTGCTGACCAAAACAAATGAGAACTGATAGCTACAGCTCGACATTGATCTGGTTTTTTAAGTAATTTAGATGCAGCTAGAGCACACTGAGTACGAACAGGTTCAGCATTTTCTTCATCAAAACAATTAATTTTTTCAAATGTACCAATCAGTAAAATAATAGCAGCTAATTGACATTTACTCTCGGATATTTCTTCTTCGTATAGTGTAAAGGCCTTAATTTAAATACATATATATTTAATGTACTTTTTAACTTTTACATGAATATAATAATATGCAGTTAATTATATTATAACAAATAATAAGTATACCTGCGAGTAAAATTCATAGGCCACAGTTTCATAATTTTTGAAATTTATTTGGGAAATAGTTAACGCTCCTTGCAAAAATAATCTTAGTGGCAATTCTGCAAGCTCAGCTTTAGTTAATTCTAAAATTGTTTGATGACAGAACTGGAATATTTTTCGGCATTTTTTCTCCCACAGTTCATCCTTAAAATTAAAAATATTTATTATATAATCGTATGATTATTAATTATTATGCAATCTATTGTTTTTTAACATACTTGTTCTCTTTTTCCACTATAGATCAAAGCCAGCTGATATGCTTGGAATACAAGAGGTGGTAATGTATAACAGATTCGTTTATTTCCTCCCAAACTAAAATGTTCTCTCTCTGCCATTAAAATTTTAAATTGTAAATCGGGTTCATCTGCTTTCATGTGATGAACAAATCTAATTAAAATAATTTTTATATGAATTAAAATAAACATCATATAGTATGACTTTAAACAAGGAATACAAACCTTCCAAGAAGACTTTGTTCCTCAGCAAAATCTTCAGGATCTTCTTCACCAATTGGTTGATCAGACTGGTCTTTAACCAGTGGAGACACCATTGTAAGAACAATGTCAGCCTAAAAAAAAAACCGGTTGAATGAGTAATAATATTATTCTCCAATGAAATTTAACAAAAAAACTATACCAACCATCAAAAATAATTAAAATGTATTAATTTTATTATAAAATTCTAAATAGTTATTCTATTAATTAATATTTCAGTAGGCAAAATTTATTATACCTGTTCAACCGATGGAATCATTGTTCTACACTGAACAGCATTTTGTAATAAATAAATAGCAATAGTCTTACGACCAGTGTAATCAAAATATTCGATTATTTCAGGGAAATGTTTAAGCTTCATCACTAAAAGAAGATCATTATAATTGTCAATGGGCAATTTCATTAGAGCCATCAACTCTCTAGATACTGGATTTTTATGACTGATTCTGTGGTTAAAAACATATTTAGTATTTTTTATTTAAAGAAAAAAAATTAAATTAAAACATACTTTTCAATTTTACGCTTAGCAAATGTATCAGAAATGGTCTGGAGAGATTTATCCACATAATCTAAATTATCTGGATAGCATTTTAGAGCTAAGCCGACCATAGCAGCTTGAAGTGACACAGTATCTTCAAGTGGTAAATCACGACTCTACAAAATAAATAAATAATTATGTTTGAGCATACATCTTAATATAATGTAAAAAACAATTCAGTATTTAAAAAAAAAAAATTAAATATTAAATATAAGGAAAATACATTATACCTGAATAATGTTGGCTATTTGTTCAGTTAGTACTTCAAATAATTTCACTTCAGATGCATTTGAATTGTGAAAAGTAAATACTGTTAGACGATTAATCATTAAAATGACGATAGTCTTTACATTCACAGATGGCTGTAACTCACAACATGACTTCAAAAACACATTCAGGGTATAAAGATGAAATTCATCTGGAAACACCTGCAGATTTTTTAAATTAGGATTAGTAACTGAAGTATTTTTAATTAAAATAAAGAATAATAATTCAAATTTTAGAGAAATATAAGACTTATTATTAAACAACTTTTTTTTTGTACATTTAGAAAAAATAAAAAAGAAAACACTCTTTGAAGTAGGTGCACCATTACATATTACTTTGCCTAATCTATACTGATAAGAACAATGTATTTCAGTATTTGTTTATCAAATATCCAAATATTTGGTTTTGGGATTGTTTTCAAGTTTATAAAACGATTAAAATAAAAAAAAAAACCATTAATTTTAAACATTTTGTAAAATAATGGTTTGAACCATTCAATACAAGACTATTTTTTTTATCTATAAAGCAATTATACCATTATGCAAATTAAATAATTGTTTAAATAATATTGTATTAAAAAGTATTATAAAAAAATGATTATTAAAAATATTATGTTGAAATTAATTGATTATTTTTTAATTTTTAAGAGAATATTTGCATAATTTTTTATGTGTTTTAAAAGAATATAAATCCAGATATAGTAACATAGCAATACTAATAAGTAATTAAGTAGTTCAATAACAATTATAAACTAGTGCATTTTAACATTATTAAAATTTTAATATTTTAAAACAAAAAATTAACAAGATCTGGTGTAATTAAAATCACCTAAATTACAACAATTAATTTAACCCGACATTAGTGGCATTAGTGTATATTATGTCAAAAGTCACATTGCAGTCTTTTCGTACATGTTATATTTTTCAATAATCAAAAACGTTTATTAATTATATCTAAACAAATATTACTGTTTCATACAATTTTTAAAATTTATATAATATAATTATAAAAAGTAATTTACTTCTGCATCAAATTGATAATATTTAAAAACAATAGGAATGTAAAATTTATATGAAATATCATGACAGGCGATTGAAGTTTTTCAAAAAAACCCTTGGCAGCCAAGTTGTTAAATTTATTTAGAAAATGACTATAGTATTTTTAATAATATTTGTAAAAGGTATATAGAGTGTCAATGATTGAAATGTAAGACTCATATGTTGTATTCAAAATGTAAAAAAAGTGCTATCATTTTGAGCATAGCCAGACTAAAGTCGGGTTAAGGAACATTTTCATAAATTGAGTAAAATCAATTTTTAATAGCTATAGTCTAAGAACCCATATTCTAAAGACTATTGTACAATTTATACATACCTGAATTATACATTCCATAAGATACTCTTGGGCAATTGCATCTCGACAACTAACAATTTGTTCCAAAATACCAGGTAAAACTACCTGTAAAATGATAATGAAGTAAAATGTCATTAAAATAAATTAGGAGGTTACTTTAGGATAGATTAAAAATATTAGAGATGTTTCATTTATATTAGATGTGTAATTATTTAACTATTTATTAAGAGGATGCCATACCTTAAATTTTTAACTTAGTAAACTGACTACTGAAGAACTTTTATTCTATGATCATACTTTACATGATAAAGATACTATAAATGTACAGATTTTAATATAATAAAAATAAACAAATAATCTACTATTAAGACAAAGATTTTCATGAATTTAAATACCAAATTTTGTAAATACAAATGTGGGTAAAAATAAATAGCTTTTATATAAAAATATTAAACAAATTAACTAACCTAAATAAATTAAATTAAAAAACATAATATTTTGGTCTTTTCAAGACACTCCTCAGAACTAAATTTGTAATTAGTCTTGTTATAGAAAAATAATTGACTTTTGAAATATGTAGTAAATACCTATGTCAAATGTTAAAAATATTTTATTGATTTTTTAATAATTTAAAATTTCTTACTTTACGGTATTTATCCAATGTAATACTATCTAAATGTGATAATCTGACCAAATTAGTTCCAACAAGAATTTTTAATTCTTCACGTTCTTTTTCACGACGTTCCTTTTCTCTAGAATGTCCTTGGTGTTGCATTCTAACCCATAGTTTATTCATCTCAGCAAAATTCATTAATATAAAATCAATCGAATCACGAACCTAAAAACATTAAGTAGCAAATATTACTTTAATAGGTATAAAATATTTATTTCATTAAAATGTAATGTGTAATATTAATTTGCTTCCTTACGGTGCCTTCTGGATGTTCAGTTTCTTCATTATCTGGCACATCAGGTAATACATTTTTGGAACATTGTAATAAATAATGGCGTAAAAATAGACCACGTAAAGGATGTTGAACGCCACGACACATTTCTACTAGATCTTTTAAGAGGTCTCGTTTTAAATTTGTATTTGTTTTTATGTAAACTAAGCCCACTGTAATCAATAAATAACTAGAAAAACAAAATATCATTCATATTATTTAAAAAAGATAATATTTATTTTAAGATTTTAAAATAATTAGGAAAATACATACAGTCTTGGTACAATATTTCCAGCGTACTGTATGATTTGATATAAATCATCGACTTTACGACCTCGTTCAAACTCTTCAACTAGATATAAGTCTAAATAACATAGTTCGTTGGTTACTTTCATAACTGGAAATATATAAGTGATTATTTAAAATACATAATATTTAGAATTGAAATGAACATAATAATTATTAAGTAGTAAGTACATAGTTCATAGTAGCTCTTGGGTGACAATAAAGATGTGCGAAGTTCAGCAAGCATTGCAGATGCGTGTTTAAGTGCTTCCATTAATTTATTTTTATCCAAGCACATTTTCATGTGCACCCCTTGTTTTTGAACGGACGCTAACGCGAACTCTAATTGTTTCTCTTGTTCTTCCATTTGTGTCATACTGAAATAATTCATTTTAGTCAGAAGATTATAGGTACACGAGTAGGTAAGTTATTGAATAAATTATAACGACATAATAATATGATGTCATCTCAATCAATATTACTAAGTGGTTTTTACTGGATACAATTGGGTTCATTGACACGTTTGTTTCAAAACTATGTAATAGGTAGGTAGGCAGATAATAACAATATTATCAACAAAAATCCAACACATACATATTGTAACAAACAGAACAGATCAATGTAAAATATGTGATGGATGTTAATGAATGCGAGATGAAAAATTTACATGTAATAAAAAAAAAATCTGTTCGACTACGTTAGATTATATGTTTTTGTAAAACCATGAAAACAGAACCTAGTCGATCGACCGTAACACCAGTTAATCGAACAAAAAATATTATATTATAACAATAAAATATAGGTACCTTATATTTCCGTATTATCTATATGTAGGTATATTATGTTATGAGTTACGAGGTAAGTAAAAACGTGTAAAAATAAAAACGAAATAAAATAACTACTACAAAGTAGGTAGGACCACTAGTTATTGATAGTTACGTTATTGGTTCCGATAAAAATCCATTGGTTATATTTAAAACGAATACATTAAATACTGATCGCGCGTATAACAATAACAATATATTATGTAAAACTAAAACAAAAATAATATTATCGCGTGCGACCGTTCGGTTTATATTTTTTCATTCGGAATTCGGGTGGTGTTGCGAGTTCGGACCTGTGTTACGTCTTGTGTTGAGAGTTTGTGAGTTCCCTACTTGTGTAGTTATGAGTTATCGTCACTGACCACAACAGACTGTTATCATTTTCGTTCGGCCGTTATCAATGAAAAGCGTCCGACGAAAAACGATGGACGCGCCATAATTGGACGACGATGGAAATAATTGCAATATTGGTATGAAACACGTATTATTGAGCCGCGACGGTTGGCAATGCCGTCCGAGTTGTGCGGATAATCGAAATAGAAAAAAAACCTTTAAAAATAAGACCTTGTAATATTAACATGTAAATTGTTAACAATAATTGCAATAATAATAATTGGCATTTGGCTGATCTAGACGAAAATACCATGTTGTATATAATGTAGGTACGCATATTTTATATTATTCTGTGACATTAATTTACACTATTAGGTATATTATTGAATATTGTAAATTTATTACTTAAGTAGGCATGTTACGTTATTATTATTTATTGTGCAGTTGCCAGTTAATATATTATAATCGTAATTCGTAGGTATGTACTATGTAGACTACATAATGTAGTAGGCGGTGTTCGTACCCGATCGTAATACTCGCACTGAAATGTATATAGTAAATTAAACTCAAAACTAGTCCAACTGGCAACTTTTTCCTAACTATTCGAGACTTTTTAAGATTTCAATTATTTGACATAAAATTTTTATTTAAATAGCTCCACAATTTCATCGATTGTCCTAATAGCTCATAGAGAGTTAACAATTGCAGATTAATTATATCCTTTGAATGTCTCTAATACATACAAATTGTGCTCTCCTAAAAATAAACTCGATAATATGTTGATTGGTAACTCTACGTGTAATATTGATATATTTAATACAACAATCCCTGACTCCTGAGTTAACTGCTTGTCTGCTTGACTGCTTCATTATATTAATTATAAATTAAGAAAACTTGATCAAGTTGTAACCTTTTTATTCTTTTATTGAGAATATTTCTTTGTTTTTTTTTCTTTTTGCTAAAAAGCTATGTATAATGTATGTACCTATATTATTTTTTGTTGTACCTAATATTTTTCATTGATATTGATTTAATTTTTCAAGATTTACATATTTTATTTCTTTCTACTTGTCAACATTGAAACTGTCACTTTATGAATTGGAAATCGGAATATTTTCAGTAATAAAGTTTATTAAATTCGTAGGTACTGCGATAAACTTTGCTGTGAACTATATACGACTTTCAAACCGCTGGTGCTCTACCTACACGCCCACTTCCTGTGCGCAGTAAAAGATAAAAATATTAAATATTAAATACTCTTTAAAAATAATTTCCAGGAATACAGTACCTATAGCATACCGTTAATAAAATATATAGGTATTATTATACATCCTAGCTCCTATTTATTATAATATTACATTAGTGGCGTTCTCAGGAATTTTCTTCAAATGTTGAAATGTGGATAATTTCTAGGAACGTAGGGGGCTGCCGGCTCTCAAAACACGGCAATTGTAGAGAGGGTTAAAGGTTAAACCCCATGAACCCTCCCTCCTCCCATGTATTACATTATTACCTACAAGTTACAACCTACATAATATTAACTAGGTATATCAGAATTCGTATAGATATAATGAAAAATTGAAAACAATTTATAGTGCTTTGCGTTTAAATTTGATACCATGCATACCAGAGGAGGACGGTGGTTATAAACAGTGGCGTACGCAGGGGTAGGGTTCTAGCAGGGTTCTGACCCCCCCTGAAATTTCTTCAAATAAAACCATTTAAATACACAAAGTCGATCAATTGTTGGTCATTTTTAATAGATATAATATAAATTGTTAAATATGACAAAGACGTCGATAATCATAGTTTCAGTTTTTTGGCTGATTTAGAACATTGCTAAACATCTGTCATAACCGTCGTATGGTGTATCATCATGTATCACCGTCCATCGATAATTACCACATACTATGACCCGAAGAGGCTCTATAGATGAGTGGCAATGACCATATGGGTGTCAAGATTGAACACTCGAGTGTTCTTAATGTAGACAACATTTGAGACTAATTATAATTTGTTATAACCAATTACATAAAAACTATTTAGAAAAAAATAATGTAAATTATTTACTCAGGTGAAACCCTAACCGAACTAAAATCCTGCGTACGCTACTGTATACCTATATGCGGCATTTCGGCTATGTATCACCTATATCTATTAATACGGCAATATCTATCGGTGAATACTAGTTTGCTCCTATCTTAATCGTAAATAAAAAGGTTAGGGGTTGCACTCTACTACACTATAGTTACCTCCGATGATCAAGTAGTCAGTTGTACCTAATATTATACTGCTATAGCTGCTAGTTGTCTATACTTGTTGTCTCCCAAAAATGTTTACACTAGTTACCTTCAATATAGAATTAATATTATTAATATATATCAATAATATATTGTGTTATAACTTATAATATTAGGCATTATAAAAAATTAAGTTTACAGCAACATATATTTAAATTATAGGTGGCTTGTTATAAGAATACCAACTGCTTTTGGCCCGAAAGTAGATGGGTGTGTATCTGAAGCTGAACCAATATAAAAATTAATCTAAATCTTATAATTATCTGACGTATATAGATACTAATGCGAGTAATGCCGTAACAGCAAAACTAGCCACAGTGGAATATACGTAAGAATATTATAAAAAGGTAGAGATGTAAGCTAGTAAGCTGTAAGGTAAGTAATACACTAATACTTATACCTACTAAATTGTAATTTATATTATATTATTATTTATAGTAATTTAGTACTTACAATTTACAAATTACCATTTAATCTGTAATTATTATTTATTGTGTAATAATTAGGACCCGGATTTAAATGCCCTAAAAACTATCCAAAAATACTCTAAAAAATAACAAAAAATGCATTTTCAATTTTAACTACAATAGTAATAATAATGTCCTTGTGTTCCTAATGTTTTAACAATACTTGAGCAAACAATAATACAGACTTGACTTGAACGTGTTTTATTATAACAGAAGATTAGTCATTGAAGTTAAAAATACGTGTATCTATAATCCTAGGGAGTTATTTGGTATAAAAATATCCTAGGATATTTTTACCCCTCTCCTTCCAGTAAGTATATCCTGGGGATAAGATTTGCTCGTTTCACTATACTATGGTATATACTAGGTACCTAGTAGTGTGTAAAGATGAACATTTTTTTTGTCACCCTGCAGGTCGCAGGAAATCGAACTTTTATTTTTTTGAGAATGAGCTATACTGCCAATGGCCTATTCGTAAGTCTTGGAATCTCTTTATTATTGAAAATGTCCAGCCCACCTAGCCGCCAACGCCCAGCAGTTGGGTTTTTAAAGTTTTTAATTTTTATACACATAATTACAGATAGATACAGATACATACGGAAGGTACTATAGAAATTATAATGAAACCAGATAAACTATTTTTGCTTTCTAACTTGTTGCCTAGGCATCATTAAGATTTAAGACCTATTTCCAATATATTATAGAAAAAAATGAATTTTTAACTCGTCAATGCCCAGCCTGGACTCATTGTATAGTATCGAATATAATATGTAGGTCACTATTCTATATTATATAAAATATATGTATAAAATGTGGAATTGCCAAAGAATGTGTATATTAATGTATAGGTATATAACTAATGTATAATATAATCTATTAAGAATTTTCGATAAACCGAATAACACATGTATATAAAACGTATACTGCCGGCTACTATATACCTAGGCGGCTAGGCAGTAGGCACTATAGCCTATAATATAGGTATCATATATACCTAGGTAAGATAAATGTGTATAACCGTAGGTACAGGTACAAATAACAGTCCATACAGGCGCGGATCTAGAGCATATTTACGGGGGGGGGGCATCTTAAATAAAATTTCTGCCTAAGTCTGATAAAAACATTGTACATACTATATAAGCTAATAGGCAAATATTATTATTTAAACCCAGTTTATCAGTACAATAAAATATATAAAATAATTTGATAAGTAATATTAATGGTTTAATTAATAATGATACGTAATACATATATAATAAATAATAATTAATAATAAAATATAACAAATATTAAAAAATGATCACAGAACAAAATCCTTTCGTCTTTTAAATAATTAGATAAGTAATATAAATGGTTTAATTAATAATGGTACGTAATAATATATAATAAATAAAAATTAATAATATTTTAACATTTTAATGCATCAAACAAGTTTAAATATGCGATTAGATTAGATTAGCTTTTTGACGGCGACCGGTAAAAACGGACACGGCCGAAACGCTATCGGCAAAACAATACATTTTATCGGCTGCCGAAAATATATATAATAGAAAATCCACCAGTTTATGGGGGGGGGCATGGCCCCTTGCCCCCCCCCTTGGATCCGCGCCTGAGTCCATACAAAATAAGACAAAATCCGAAAATGATATACCTAATACCTATATAGTATATATATATACTATATACTATATATGTATAGTTAGTACATGCACAATACAATAAACGACATTTAATATCACTGTAGACAGTAGGTACTAGACACTACATGATTATAAATTAATAATTATAATATTATTGTTACACCTAACTTATATAGGTGTAACATTAATATATATATATATAAAGGTAGAATATAATATTGTATTGTGTAGATATCACATAGGTACAAGTATATTCAAGTATTCAACATATATATCATATATGTATAATATATTTTTATACCTAATATATAGATACTACCTATCACAGATTATTTGAAAATATTTTTTTTTTATCTGTGGTACATTTAGTCTATATACCATTATATATTATACCCATGTAGGATGTAGATAAACATCGCGTGGTATTTGTATATACTTGCATACTATATACGAGAATCAGATTCCTATGTTTAGGAATTGTTAAAACTTAAAGGAAGGAGTTAAGGCATTGAGTCATGTACACGGAAAACTAACACAATTAATCATAATTTTTATAGTACATCGCATATTGATTATTTTTATTAGATGTAAGATACTTATAGTAAATAGTAAATAGTAAAAAAAATTATAATAAAAAACAAATTTCCTTCCTTTGGTGAACAGTTACAAAAAAATAATGAAATACCTATTGAATTTATGTCTATTGTAATTTTAGATTCTGAGTGAAACGATGAATTTATTTTATACTAATTGAATGCAAATAACTAAACAGTTAACACCCGTACACCACAAGTTCCAAAAACTGACTAAAATTTTTTTTAATAATAATATTCAATCTGTTTATGAATACATTTTAACTCTGTCGTGCATTCAAATAAAATGTGAGAGGTTATTTAGTCAACTAAAAATAATTAAAAACAGACTGAGGTCATCTTAAGAGCAGAATCATTTGAAAATGTTAATGTCTATTGAACGAGATATTTTGGAAAATGTAGATTTTTCAGATGTACTTAAAATGTGAAAAATACTTCAGATTTAAACACTTACTTGAATTATGCTTGAAAAATTGTTTAATATAAATTTGATTTCTAAAAAATATTTTTTTTCTGTATATTACACTGAAAAATTGCTTAGAATTGTTTCATTGAAGACATGGTTTATTGTTTCGTTTCATTAAGATTTAAAATATGTGTGGACTAAATTACAAAAAGTACCTAGATTTTAAATATTTTATCACAAGAATATGAATCAGGATAGTTTGGAATGTTTTTTTTGGCTCGAGTCGACCGCATGGTGCAAGAAGTATTAATTCTTCCTGTCACAATTTTATGAATACTTTCGAAACTCTTCTTTTAAATAATTTTTCCTCAGTGAAATCGATTGGACAAAATTGTGAACAAGATAATACCTATTGATTGTTTGTCAAATCTAAAAAGCTTTTTATCTAATAAATCATAAATTCAATTAAATACAACTGCAGATATTGCAGTACCATTCAATGTGAACCCTCCGATTCAGATAATATAATCAAATAATTTATATTATGAGTGATATTGTATTAGAGTATATAACAGGTTTCATTAAAAAAAAAATTTACAATTGTAAATGCATAGGCCTCAAATAGCGAAATTATTTTAGGAGGACTAAAGCCCCTCCTATAATATTTTCTAAAAATTATATATGCTCAGTACTAAGTAAAGTACTGACTTTTGAATTGGGGGGACTTGACAGAAATATAGGGGGACTGAGTCCTCCAAGCTCCCCTCCCCCTATTTGGGCCAATTTGTAAATGAATGTGATATTTGTAAATATGAATTGAAATCATAAGTTCCAACAAATAGACTTATAAAGGCTCGAAAGTATACAAAAAAAAATTCGCTCAACCAACCATCTTAATTTTTGTGTATTTTAAAATTGTTGAATCAGTCTATAGATGATTTAATATTATATAAAAACGATGTTGGAAAACAACTTTTATTACTTATTGAATTGCACATTGATTTCGACTTCTCATGTGAAATACACAGATTAAAAATTAAAAATATTATTATTAAACATTCAGTTAATTTAACAATGTTTAGTGTTTACACTCTGTAAAAATATGAATAGATAATGAAAGGTATATCCAGCCCACTTAACTCTAATGCTAAACTTAATAAAATTGTAGTAGATTTTTACAATAAACATTCAAGAATATTTAAACCAAAATTGTATAGATCATAATTACAGGGCTGGAAGTGGTTAAAGCTATTTAAAAAAGTGACTAAGTGCGACTGAATTTATTCATAAAAGTGACAAAAAAGTGACCTGCATAAATTTGTGTCATAACAACTTACCAGTTATTAAACATTTGTCTTTACATACCTATGGTTTAATTGATTCTAACTTACTTAATTTTGTAGAAATTACAAAAAAAATAATAATTATAATAAACACAAATTTTAATAACAAATAATTAAATCATATTACCTATTTCAATTTATAATGTTAATATTTTAGAATAATATTCAATATCATTGTTTAAGAACTTCCTTTATTTTAAATTTTAATCATAAGTACAAAATAATATGAAAATAAACTTACGTTATAATACGATCTTCTCTATGAAGTATATGAGTACAACAATAGAGGAGAGGGAAAAAATCATCTAGAAATCCATATTTTATACTCACACCGGATCGTGTTGACAAATTTCAAACATAATATTATTATCCAGTCTTCAATCTTCATGAACACAAAATGCTCGTACATAAGTGAAATGTAAATGTTTAATTGATAATTGAAGTAATGAGAATTTCATAGGCGCAATTTGGGTTAAATTTATGCGGGTGCTAGATTTGTATCGACTAAAGTGATCAGTGAGGGGCTTTGCCCCCTACACCACCCTCCATTCATACACCTTAATTTTATACACCTTCGCATAATTCTTAATATAAACAATTACCTATAGGCTATAACCATAGGCGTGTCTATCTACGGGTCATGCCTGTCATGCACAGGCATGACCTGCGAAATTTGATCCAACTTAGGTACCTACATTATAAATTGGGGTGCATAATATAAACTTTTTTTCTAAGTGTCTGATTTCGTATTAAGTTTTTTGATTTTCATCACGTAAAAATAAATGTTTGTAAAAAGTATTATTAGTATTAAAATAATTATATTTTGAAATTAAGTACTAAAAAAAATTTCATAATATAACCTACTTAGTTATTTATTCATCTGATAAAAGAAATGTCTTTTTTTTTGGGGGGGGGGAGGTGCATTTATCTCCCCCAAATATGCCACTGTTGTGCACGACCTGCGGATGAGATCTGGACACACCAATGCCTATAACGGTTATAACATAATATATTATTATCTATTTTATTGTTTTGATATTATTATTATTATTATGACAATTATAAGGTCTTAGAAATAATTGTATCCAAATACCTATGGCATAATATTATATAATATTTATAATAATAAAAATTTGATGATGCTATCAAAAATTTGAGGGTGCTAAACACCCCCCAAATTGCGCCTATGGAGAATTTTAAAGTACATGATCATGTGACCTGAGGGTCAATATTTTACTAATAAATAATAACTTACAATTTAACTAGAAACAAAATAGTAGTCAATTTGTATTTACACTACTACAATTCTGTACCTATTTACTATTTTATTAAACAATTTGTAGTTTACCTAAAATAAACACGTTTATCTCCCGTTAGTTTAAAAATTAGAGCGATTTGACCTCTTATAAAATTTAAAGGCAAGATTATTATCTAGACAATGACATAGGCTTTTTATTATAATTTAATTTTAAAGCGAGTTATGTGTATTTTAAAATTGTAAACTGTTTGTACATCTTAAAATACTCATAACTCGCTTTAAAATTAAAATGTAATAAAAAGCATATATCAATGTCTAGATTATAATCTTACCTTTAGATTTTATAAGAGGTCAATTCGCTCTAATTTTTAAACTAATGGAAGATAAACGTGTTTTGCTGAGCGTAAAATTTGCTGTTAACTGTTAAGACTTGTAAGACGGAGACAACAATTGTCATTGTAACATCCCCTTAACATCATAATTCATAGTATCATACATTGTAGAAAACAAGTCCATTTCAATAAATAAATATGACCAAACCGGATATTATGATAAGTGATGACTACTTTTCAGCCTGGATACCTGAAGAATAACTACTAGTGTTTTAATATTTGTTATCCAATATGTTTCTTAAACTTAATCTAGCTATGAATCATGATTTCCAGCCAAAAATAATAAATTTGATCTTTAAACAATTTATTAAAATTAATGACATAAAATACATTTTATACTCTTAAAAATAAGTATTTACTATTTACATACACAAATAAAGAAAATAGTAAAATATGTAAATGGCTATTCTGTATTTTTTTCGGTAAATGCTCCTAAGTTACCAAATAATTCAGCAGGCACATCTTTTTGAGTAGGCATATCTGCGTCATCGTTTTCTTCATTTTCTTTGTCACCATCTTCTTCATCTTCATCATCACTGAATTGTATTTCATCTGGATTTGTTACTTTTTCATTTGGTAAACGATCTTGCTCACTACCCAAAACAAATTTGATAGGTTCCAATGGTTTTTCTTTATTTTCTAATGCTTTTTCTTCTAACAACTTCATTCCACTCTTTTCTGGTTCAACCGAAATAACAGACATCATTTGTGCTGACATCATGTTCACTTGGATATTATACATTGCTTGAACACTTCGTTTAATTCTTAGCATTTCTCGGAGAGTATCTTCATTACCATGAGCTACTTCAAATGAGGTCCATGTTTGCCAAAATTCTTCAGTTACTCTAGGATCACATATCTGACTACAGTGAGAGTATATTGCTCGAGCCCGATCAATTTCACCTAATTTTGTTTCAAGTTCAGCAAATCTTAGATACATTGTACGAGCATTATTATTTGTTAAGACTTCCAAGGCTTTCATATAGATTTCTCTAGTCTTTGGTATACCAGATATTTCTGCTGCTTTTTTAATGTAAATGTTGAACATTTCAAACTTCTCTTCGGGTAGAACAGCTTCGGTGGCTCTTTCGTATACGGCCATTGCTCGTCTGCCCAAACCATGTTTTTCTTCAAGCTTTGCATACAATAAGTAAATACACTTGGCAAATTGTGGTGGGCAACCTTCTAGACACTCTTCAAAAAGATCACGTGCACGTTCAAGTTTTGTACCACCGTAACGGTCCAAAAATTTTGTCAAGTATGTATTCCATATATCAAAAACATTTGGCCACTTGAATAACGCTACACCTTTTTCATAAGCTTTGAACATTTCTTCAAAATAGTTGCTTTCTTCTAAAAATAATCCATAATTAATAATAGTTTGTGGAGTTGCAATTCTTAAATCTATAACTCGATCATAACAAGCCATTGTTGATTTGACCGTTCCAAAACTCTCTTCCATGTCCAAATACAATGACCATAATTTTAATGATTTGTGTAATCGTATTTGAACAGTTTCTGTATCGTCGTGGTAGGCTACTTTCCGAGAAGGTATGGAAGTTGCTTGTCGCATTAGTCTCATTGCTTCATTAAAGTTATCGTGTCTCAATTCCATTTCTACCCATTCACACCAAACGCTAGCTAAATGCTCAACTTTAATATATGACACTAAAACAGCTTTTTTAAATACTAAGCGTGCTTCTTCGACTTGTTTGGCTTTTTCATAAAATTTAGCAAACTCCACCCAAAGTGTATGTAATCTACCTACAGCTTTTTGAGGATCAACTGTCTCTACAGCTTCAGTAAAAGTATTAATTACCTGAACGTCATTTCCTTCATAGAGCTGTACACGTTTTAACCATTCTTTAACGTTGTGGGGGTTTTGTCTTAAAAGTACAGAGTTTAAAAGTAGTAATCGTCTTTCGATCAGGTTTTCCAATCTTGCCATGCGTAAATCAATTTCACAATCATCTTTCTCAGTACTGTTTTGATTAGCATGAACAACTTCCATTCGTTTTTGTAAGCTTAACTCTTCAAATTGTGCATAGGCATCATACACTTGTGTAAAATCACGAACCGTTGTAACAGTTTGAATAGCCTCTTCATATATATCTCTTGCTCTTTCAAACAATCCGCTACGTATGTAATAATCAGCTAATGAGTTCCACAAATGGCCAAGCTGGTCAGTGTAACGTCTTAAACCACTACGTATAATTGCATCAACATTTAATGATTTAATTTCTAAAGGATTTTTCGATATCAAATTGCAAAGTTCATTCCAGAGTTGATGCTTAGATTTACCATGTTTGGATACAAAACTGTCATTGTTTACAATTTCTGACAAACGAATAGCAGCTTCATCGAGTCGCCCAGATGCGGTCAAGTATTCAATATAATCTTCCGAATCTTCTGGAAATAACTTTAAATATCTCCTATATATTTTAACAGCAACTTCTGGGTCATGACTTTCTTTAATGAATTTCAAATACAATGGCCATATTCGTGAATGTTGAGTGATCGGTAAAGCTCTAAGGGCCCTATCAAATAGACGACGAGCGACGGTGAGCTTAGGTTGTTTCAACATGAACGTGCAGAACTCGATCCATATGCGAGGCATCTTGTTCATGTACACCAACGCTCGCTCGTAGACATTGTTTACTTCTTCGTAGTCGGGATTGTCTGTTTTTTTTAAATACTTACGACGTATTTTCAAGTAACAGTGCCACAGTTTGTAGCTGCCCGGCAGTTGTTTCAAGGCGCGTTCGTACAGCACACATACTTTTTTGTACGGTCCCAGTTTGTAATTGTCTATGTACCGCATCCAACACTTGACCGAATTTGGATTTCTCAGTATGTCTTGTTCAAATTCTACATCTCTCTTGTTCAATCTGTACGTTTGGAATATCACAGCATCCGACATGTCGTTGCCCACATCTCCTCGCATCACGTCGAGTTCCATTCTCATTGGATCTGTAAACAAGCGTTAACATGAACGTACATCGTAATAATGGATGCATAAAATCCAACACAAGAATCCACAGTGACACAGTGCGTTTACTTACCAGACGACCGACAGTTTTCGGGCGCGTATTGACGTCGGTGACACAACAAATATTTTTGGAAACGCACAATAAAACAGCCCGTAACAGACGTTAAATCTTAAAGTTGTAATTTTATAAAAATCTGCATGCGTACGATTGTGAATGATTGTGTCGGTTGATAACGTTCTGTTCATAGACAGAGCCGAGTGGTTTTGTTCGCGTTGTTTGTATACCTGAAGTGAGGAACGTTTTGAAAACGGCAATGCCGACGACTAGTGCCCACCGCAGTTCTTATCACTTTATCAGTAAAATTATTAAAAGACACATTATTTGAGATAATCATAATTTGTCGTTTTATTTTCAGGCTTTTGCCTTTAGAGTTTAGAGTTCCGATAGTCTTTATTTATTATTATAGACAATTATAGAATAAATTGTCGACTGGGTTCTAGAAGTCCCGTCGACGCTCTGGAAAATGACTTTACAAAGAATGTTAAAATTCACAACAAGCCAATTGACTGGGTGTAAGTGTGAAGAATTTTTTTTTAAATATAAACATTTAATAATTTTTATAATTTTTACACATTCAATATCTGTATTTTAGGTGCTGCTCTGTTACCACAAGTCAACAATGTTCGAGGCATCAAGAATTTTAAGCCCCCAATTCTATATGAACGTAAAAAATAAAAGAGATTTCTAATAGTAATCACAAAATTGTAACGTGTAAACTGTATACCGACACTCGTTTCAGATATTCAGATGCCAGAAAGGCCTAAGCTCCATTATATCGACAGGGTACCAAATTATAGTAATTCTCAAATAAGGCCTCCAAAAATGCATAAAATGTTGGGTTTGATGAGGGGTCCTGAAACAGTTCACAACAAACTTATACACAAACAATATGGTATACAGGTAAGTTTATGAAATTGAATTTATTTCTTAACATTTATCAATATGAATTGAACACAACTGCATCGAGTACATTAGATATTTATGCAGTTGCAATACAATTCTGCATTTCTGCTTACATTTAATTTGATTATTTCTATAGGCGACTGGCGGAGGCCGAATGAGGTTTGTACACTTTGAAGTTATTCGAATGGGCTTACTGAGAAAATTAGACTGGTCCAGAATGTTTGCTATTTGGAGAGTTGATTCACCATGGCAAGCTGTCACCAAAAAGGTTAATTATGCACATAAAATGTTAAATACAAACAAATAATAAATGTGTGTCTGCAATGTTACAGGGCCAAGGGCAGAGAATGGGTGGTGGAAAAGGTAACATAGATCATTACGTGACTCCGATTAGATCAGGCAGAATTATTATTGAAATCGCTGGTCATTGTGAATATGTAGAGGTAAGTTTGTGTTTTTAACAATTTAATTAACTAATTACATCAAATGTTGGGAGAAATTGTGTGTTGACCTATCATCACTTATTACCAATTGAATCGGTCATTTTAAAAACGACATGAGTAACTTTTTTTACAGAAATAAATTTTTTGTCAAATTTTATAATTATATACTTAGCTATATATCGATGGCTAAGAGGCCAAAAGTTGTATGTCCAATTTTTCTCAAAATTGTTTTATTGGTTCATAGGGGTTATCTGGGTCGTCTTTTTGATTCGGTAAAACATTATAAGTCAATATCATGATTAAAACATGTTTTATTTATACTTTAATTTTTGTGTTTTTAGTGCAAGATATGTTTTTTTAGTGCACACATATAACAAGTCCTAATTTAATGAGACATACGATAAATATTTTAACATGATCTAAATATTAAGCGGACAAATATAACAAGTCCGGACTTGTTACTTTTGTCAAAAACAATTTATTGAATTTTGGACGTGTAATGTTTTAGATAATATTGAATTTGTTTATCTATTTATAAAAAAATAATATGTCCGGACGTATTATTTTAAATAATAAAAATTTTTATTTTTAAATTACACTAAATAATATGATATCTTCACTTAGCATAAAATATCCTTAAACACTGGTTTTATTTGACTAAAAATTTGATGAAAAATGCTACTTTATTATTTTTCACATTCAATAAAAAATTCCAATATATTTTATATTTTTTACTTTTTTACTGCAATTTTAAAAACAAATTGAATTTTTTATATTAAAAAAATAAGTCTTACGTACATTTTAACTATTTATGTAATAAATTAATTAGAGTTTATATTAAATTAACAACTTTTAATATGTCCATCAAAACCTTATATGTCCACGGTAAAAATATATTATAATTGCCATTCATAACAAGTCCCATTTAAATTTAAAAGAAACATTATAATTACGTTTGAAAAAATTTTAAAACCTAAAAGTAATAATTTATGTAATCTACAGAATATTTTACAAATAAATCAGTTGCAACACCGAAAAACAAAAATCTACAACGCAAATTATTTGGTGTAGAATAATTTAAAATCTTAAAACTGCTCTCCCGAAAAATTTAGTGTTTGGGACATACAACTTTTGGCCTCTTAGCCATCGATATTCTGTGCAAAAATTTGTAGGACTCGTATTTAATTAAAAAATATAATTTTCAAGCAACTCAAATTACTGAAAAAACAACACAAGTCAATGACTTGTAATTAAGTTTTTAGTGGTTTGTGTAAAATTTCTATTTGATGACTTGTGTCGTTTTAGAAATAACCGATTCGATTATATTATTTATTATTGTTGAAACCTACATTGTCTCTAATGTCATTACTAAAGACCGGATTTATATTCTCTCAAAATACCCAAAATATAATGCTAATATTCTCCAAAAAACCTCCAAATATTCTCATTATATTCTCTCAAAAATTTAAAAAATAATAAAAAAACATCATTATATGCTTTAGTATGCATTTATTTTTTAAAATTTTATTTTCAACTATATTTTTATAGTGAGATATTAATTAGGTATTAAGAGTTGCATATTATACCTAATGAGTAATGGAATAGTATTGCACTTTAGCAAGAGTAAGAAGTTGGAATATAATATAAATATAACAGTATAGGTAATATTAAAACACAAAAACAAAATTTTGATATTTGAATAATTGATAAACTTATAAGTTGATCTTATCAGTTGATATACATAGATAAACCTTAATAATACTGCGTGTTTTATTTTTATAAAAATGAAAAAAAAAAAATAAATTGTAAATGGTCAAAAAAATTTTTTCAGAGTACCGTAATATTAAAATTAATAAAAATAAATACAAATTTTTGCTCACAATTTACGAAATATTCCAAAATATGCTAAATGGGTTAAATATTCTCCAACCCATGAAATATTCTCAAATATGCAAAAAAAACTTTTTTCTACGCATTCAGAATTGAACGAATCGTCTACATTTTTTACTCTCATAACACTGCATAGACCCAGTAACGATATGTAAAAACATATAAATCCGGTCTTTAGTCATTACGCTATTACATTTATTATCCAAATCTTTTTTCAACTATCAATTTTTATGCTGTAGGTAAAAGATATTTTAAGTAAAATATCTGCTAAACTTCCATTTAAAGCAAAAGCTGTTAGCCAAGAAACTATGGAATGGGATTTAGCCAAAGAACAGTGGCAGTCTGAAAACAATCAGAATAAATATACAATGGAATATTTAATTAAAAATAACATGGATGATTTACAAAGAAAAGTTAAAAAAATTGATCATTTATATTTTGGAAAATATGTATAAAATATGATGTGTTAATAAGTCTAGAATCTATATTCTATATAGTTGAAACCTAAATGTTTAATTTTGATTTGTGTAAAATAAAATAATTTGTATTAAAATTGAATAGTTGTATACTTTTGAAGAATCCTTTGTATTTCGTGCATTTAAAATTTTATATGTATAACTTATGGAGACTATATTATGAAGAGTGTATATACTGGACAGTGGAAAACACATGTTTCATTAAAATATATAATTCAATGTGCAATAAAAATGACAAAATAACAATATACACAACAAATGATTGACTTGTGAATGAATTTTAAATACATGAAATTAGAATATTAATTTTAAGAATAGCCCACATGAGTAGGTATATTATAATAAATAATAATACATTTTTACAATAACTATTTGAATATTTGTCAATATTGTAATTTCAAAATGTATGCACTGGAGCCCGGGAGTATAAAATAAGTATTAAGTAATAACCATTAATAGCTTTCATGTAAAAACTTTGCAGTGCGTGCCAATATTCACTAACTGTATATTATCTATGTGTATACTGTATACGGTATATTATAATACCTACTTAACTAACTACCATTTTTTTATCATCACCACTTAATCCTAGGTTCTGGATCTTTCGCCACCAATGCTGGCCTAGGTGAAATCTACATTAAAATGGGTTGCTTCGAGTACAACCAAAAATAAATACTAAATAGTAATAAATAGAGACCGGATTTATATGCGCTTAAAATCTTGAAAATAAGATGATTCTAAGCTCTATAATTTCATCAAAATAATCTTTTATATGCCAAAATATTCTTTTTCATAAAAATGTATTGAACAGTTATATTAATTAGAATCTATAATATGGTGATACACTGCCATACTGGTGTACCTATTTAACTGCAGTAATTCAAAAAAAAAAAATACAAAAAAAAAAATTAAAAGGTGCTCTGCTGTACAGTAGGTTACAAGTGGGTCACTGTATAATGGATGGCATTAAATTTGAATTCAATGATTATTGTATAAGAAAAACGATTCTGAGCGGAGACGGTATATCAGTTTAGGTATAAGACATATTATATACTTATCTATGGTATTACAGAAAAATGTACCTATAATAAATTCCAAATTAATCATATCACAATATCCATTAGGTACTTATAAAGCGTTATACATCAACAACAAACCCTGATACTATCATAGATATTTAATAGTGTACTTTAGAAGTTTCAAGTACCCATGAATAATATACAATCACAACAAAATACCTAAAACAGTTATTCTAGGTTTGTAATTTCGTCCAAATTTGAACTTAAAATGACAATAAAAATAAACCAACTGTCCTTCTGTATTTTTTAGATTTTTGGTGACATAATTAACTACTTACGTAGAATCTTTAAGATTTAAAAAGAAAAATTTTTACGAATTCTTAACTCAAAATAATTTGCTAATTTTCGTGATTTTCCATATTTTGTCAATTTTTGAACTTTAAATGCTTATAAAAAAAAACTGTGACTAACGATTTTTAATATTTTTCATCTGCCTTTGAAACAATATAATAGGTCACTAGGAGCCTTCTATTAAATTTTCAAATTTTTTAAACTAACTTATAAAATTTTATTGATATTTCTAGAAAAAAAACTAAATAAAAAATGAAAAATGAAAATGTCCCTAAACAGTTCAAAATAAATCAAAATATTTTGAAAATGTTATCGTGTATAAAAAATGCAAATATAAACAACCAGTGAAAATTGCATGTATCTACGGTCATTTGTTTTAAAGTTACACCAAAAACCAAATTCAATTTTTTGGAAAACCGAATTTGTGTCAAAATTCCCGTTTTTCCTTAATTTTTATGTTGTTTTTCCCGGCGCTTGTGAAAACTACTGTGAAATTTTTACTTTTGACCCCCCAAAGTACCAACTACATTCACTTTCTTAACAGAAAAGCTACTGTTGAAGAAAATCCAAGCACTTTTACTGTTCTAAAACGTGATGACAGACACAAAAATAAAAAAACACACATCATTGTAAAATCAGTACATTCATCTTTTCACTCAGAATCTAAAAATAATAAAAAAACACACATCATTGTAAAATCAATATATTCATCGTTCCACTCAGAATCTAAAAGTAATTGCATATATAGTTCATTAACAGAATAATATTATATGTATTGAAACTCAAACTTAAATAATTCAGCCTTATTAATTAAAAAAATAATGAAAAATAAAAATAAAAATAAAAAAAAGATTGCATATACAGTAGAACTTCCATATAACGGTCACCGAAGGGACTGTAAATAAGGACCGCTATTTAGAGGTGCCTGTTCTACAGAGGTAGGATAACACTGTAGGATAACCCTCGACGGGACCAAAAAAATTGACCGTTACATAGAGGTGACCGTTAACGGAAGTTATACTGTAGTCTGTAGTATACAACTACAGAATAATATTATATATTAATATACCTCAAATTTAAATAATTCAGCCTTATGAACTCAATAATTAATAATAATAACAAGTTTTAAATAATAAAAATAAAACATTTTTATTTTAATATAATATTCAAATATGAACACAATATGGCAATATATTCCTAAAACATGTTTTTTACACAAAATATTCTTTATGCGCTAAAAAAATGTGTACATCAGTTCATACGTAAATGAATCGTCGACAAAGCTTACCCAATTGGAGCTGCATACTCTCAGTAAAGATATGTAAAAACATAAAAATCCGGTCTCTAGTTATAAATCAACTATTGATTATTAAGCAATTAATTATTTGTCAAATTATTATATACACTTTAAGTGAAATAATCAATCACATATATACTCGATATTTTACCTATGATTTATGACTTCAAGTAGGTATATAATATAAATAACAAACAATTATAATAATTCCTCAAATAAATTAAAATTTTAAAAACATTTATTACCTACCTACTGAGTATGGTGATTACGAGTAACCAAAAGTCAAAAATTAAGTTCTAAAAGTTAAGATTCTAATAGTACCTATAGTTCCGATTATTTTTTAATAATAGTGGGCCTAATGGGTTCCAGTCCGCCCCTGGTAGGTAATTGGACGGTAATTTTTGGACTCCCATTGGCCATTCTTACAAATTGCAACTGTCAAACGAAGTTGAAAACTGATTTAAAAACGATTTAGTAAGTATTCATCTTCCATCTCAAGTATCATCTTCAACCAGATGACAAATGAAGTTCACGGAACATTTATGAAAAAATTATACTCATCCTGGAGTAAACTATTCGATCAAAAATTATGGTATGAATTTAAGCCTAGTCAGATCTGTTAGATATTTTCCGCCCTAAGGTGAAAATCGTAATGCCACTCTTCTTTACCGATATTTATTTAATTTTGCCGTCTTCAATTTCTTTAAAATTGTATGCATCATTGGCAACAGCCAATTAAAACTATTTACATATATATAAATATAAAACACATACTTACAATCTTTTACACATTTTCAAGTCTTTAAAAATTAATACATTTTTATATTTTTTTTCTATAACTTTAATTCATAACTTTTTCATTTTAGATTATGAGCGATGACTGTATTGGTTTTACAATGATTGAATGATGTGTTTGTTTTTTTTCTGTTTTTCATCAACTTTTCGGGTAGGTAGTAAAAATGCTCTGATATTTTTACTTCAGCATATTAATTCTGAAAGTTGATCTAGTTGGTGCATATAAGCTAATAGCTATACAAGGATTGATGCATTATTGCGTTATAAATAGGTAATAATTTACTAATAAATAATAATATGTATTGTGTATTTGCGTAGAACGTGCGAACGTCAATATAGTCGATAGTATATACAAAATAATCTTTAAAAAAAAAAAATCAAAATTTTATTTTATTTTATAAATATAACTAACTTATAAGTTTTCCTTAGGTATTTTAAAATATTTCGAGCGCAATATTGTGATGGATGTATAGATCGGAATATTGCTCGGTCTATCGACCCTAAAGGCCTAAAATGTTTAGAGCGCAACATTGGTAAACTGCCGGACTAGGATCTGATAAACGATACAATAAAAGAAGAAGAAGAATGCAAAAACACGGCATTATAATATATATAGGTATAAATGTATAATATTGTTAACATTTCGATTGGGTGAATATCATAATATATAGTCATACGCACGTAAATACTAGTAAAATAATATACAATATAATAATATATAAAAACGTACTTTTGAATAAAATATAGGTACCCTAAGTAAAAAAATTGGGAGGCACAGAAGTGTAAGATACATTATAATATTATGATAAATGTTCACAGATATTTTCATAATAATTACAATAATTATTCTAATTAGGTACTATATATTATAATAAGATAATGAGTAATACGATTCTAAACATTGCATCTGTGTGAGTTTAGGGTGTGTGTGTGTATGATGAGTGTTCAATATGCTCTAAATCGTTTTCTTATGTCGTACTCAAATCTCGTGTCCGAGAATGGGGAAAAATGTAATAAATTATTAAAAAGGGAGTATTATGGTCGTCGTGGTTGGGTTAGGTTAAACCGCAGGGCCGACCGATGATCGTTTGGCCGCGGTGTTCCGCTTCTGCTTGGAGGACTCCGGTTCGGAAAACATCAAGACGCCGTAAACGATGTTCAGGGCGGACGCGACCGCGAAAACAGCGAACACCCACCAGCCGACGGCGGCGTACACGTACGGATAGCACTTGATGACCGCGAAGGCGACGGTATACCCGAACGCTAGGGCCACGTGTTCGCCCGCCGCGTAGCGTGGAACCGGCGAGTGAGGCACCAGACCGACGCTGCTGGACATGGCAAAAACGATCATGCCCAGCAGCGGGACGAAGCTCAACAGCTGCGAGCCGAGCCGGTTGAGGAACATCCGGCGGAGCAGGTTGTAGACGGCGATGACCACGCCGGCCGTCAGCGTGCCGGCGGCTGCGAGTGTGGCCGACGATTCCCGGTGGTCCATGGCCGTGGACACGAGGGCGCCGGCCACCAGGAACGCGGCCAGTACGGCCGCCACGAAGTGACCGTTGAGCACGCGCACGCCAGAGTCGCCCACCATTTGCGAGGCGTACGACACGAAAACCAATGGACCGGACATTTGCTGTAGGGCCAGGTGCAAGGTCAGCGCCAGCAACGGCCTGTAGATCTCGGGCCGGTGGACACTCCGATAGATGGCCTCGGTCGATGTAGATCTGTCTCCGGCACTGCGGGTCGAGGGTTCCACGCCGTCTTCCAGCGATTCGGCGTCCGGTTGCCGCTGGAGCCTCAACTTGAGCCTGGAGTACTCGGCGTCACCGGTGCGGCCGCGGGCCTCCAGCCATGCCGGGCTCTCCGGCACGAACGACCGGACGAGAACGAACGACACGATGGTGACCACCATGGCCACGGCGGCTGTCTGAGCGTAGCTGAGCAGTGACCCGGCCAGGTACACGCAGAGCACTCCGATGGCGGTGTAGACGACCGGCCGGGCGGTGGGCCGCGCCGGGAAACACTCGGAGCTGTGCGCGGTGGCCGCCACAGTCACGACGCCCACGAACACGCCGGTGAGCGCGCGTCCAACGAGCAGGTTTGTGGTGGTCCAGCTGCTGAACTTCAGCATCCAACCGATGGCGCAAATCACGTGACTCAGCAGCACCGAGCCCCGGGGTCCGAACGCGTTCATCAAGCTGTGAGAGATCAGGCATCCCCCTGCCGCGCCCAGAGCGGCCAGACTAGCTGCGAACATGATTAAAATATAGATGACAGACAGAACCTAACCGGTTTACCACCGGTACTATATAGAGAGATGAACATGAAATTTGGTTATATTTTTAACTACTATACTCTGTTCAACGAGAGAACGCACAGATTCTGCGCATCCCCCCGCGTCACGCTGCTATCGAAACCAGTTCTCCTATGGCAGGGTGGGGGAACCAATTTTGGTCGGTGCGCCGTGCGTTCTCTAGTTGAACACAGTTTAGAAGAACAATCCAAAATATGGCAATAATGTCAAAAGTAAAAAATATTAATAAATTGTAAATAATCGCATTTTAAATAGGTACATACAGTAAGTTCCCGTTACAACGAATACCGATACAACGAAAGTCCTAGAAGTCCCCTACAGAAAAGCTATTAAGCTTTTCTAATGACCTTACAACGAAATTTCCGTTATAACGATAAAAAAATGTGGTCCCTTGGAGTTCGCTGTAACGAGAACTTACTGTATTTAAATATTATTACCTATATAACATTGTTTATATTATTTATCAGTAATATTTCTTGGATGGGGAACGGAAAAAAAGTCTCGGGGCAAAAAAAGTTCATAAAACTATTAAAATAATTTTTAAAAGTTACACCGATAACAATTTATACAACTAGGATTTTTATAGTTACTATGTAATATTTTTTTCTATTCTGACATCTAACTTAGTGGTATATAGATATGTATAATTTTTTAATAATAATATAATATTATTGACTGAGATTCAATGAGATATTTTTTTATAATTTTATAATTATTAGCTATTATTTTATTTGTTTTGTATTTAGTAGGTATATATAATTACCTATTATATGATTACATAATTATTAGATATTATCTTTAGAAAACAGACTTTTTTTCCTCGAGACTTTTACCCACCATCTTCCTGGATGGCTGGCTATAAATTTGTATTATAAATGATTTATATATTTATATGTTATATAATTATTATTATTTTTATAATTTATATATTATTTATGCTAGTAAATCTGTTCTTTAAACCACATTTTCGTAAATTTTAGGTATATATTGTAAACGTACCTATTGAAATTTTAAATTTTAGTCGTATAGTCGTATTATAAATGTATAATTACATTTAAATCATAAGTGTATGTAAATAACAGCTACTTATCAATAATATTGTGTCGACTAGCGAATAGCGATCAATATAATATAACAATAATATTATTAAGTATAGTCTGTAAAGTGATGTAACATGTTATGCAATCAGATGATGGACTGAGGGGAATATTTTAATATAGCATGGGCGGAGTTGTTATGGGTAGGGGCATCAGTGTACCACCTATAATTAGTTATTAATATTGTAACTCGGAAACATCGGCTATAATTTTTTATGTCTTGTAAAAATTATTTTTAACTATCGGTACACACTACACAATCGTGTATAAAAGAAAGTATAGGTACTTATAGTATGCCACCTACCGAAAAACTGTATACGCATGTAGCATACCAAAAAATATATCATACCTAGGTACCTGTCATACTCACTATTATGTTATATTTGTATTTAAATTTGATACGGGAAAGTTTATCTGGGATTTGAGTTATTAAGAAATTGATTTATCAATTTATTAATTAATCTAAATTTAAAGTTATTCATATAAACAACATATTATAACGGTGATGGTGTGATACTGATACAATACTATATAGGTGCCTAGTGTCCTAGTAGCTAAATAGCCATCGTGATCATTTGTAAGTATTCATCAAGTCCCAAGATAACTCACTTAAAGTCTTTAGATATTATATTATTTTAATCTGTCCATTAGACAGTTAACTAAAATGGAAATGGTGCGGAGGTCCATTAAAATTTAAAACACAACACGACAATTAATTTGAAGTTTTCTGAGATGATGCGACGTACAAACAACATAACAATTTATAACGTATTAATATTTAAAATACTTGATGATCGTCAACAATACATTAGGTAAGTCAATTTTAGTTCTTTATAAATTGTTATTAATCAATAATCAGATGGTAAAACACAGGAAACACCCGCAAAAGTTTTTATAGCTATACAACGCGAGTACCTACCAAATTATCAAAAAGTAATATTTTGAGAATTATCTACAAATAGTGCCAATGTATTTTTTAAATAATATATTTACATATATATTTTTTTAAATCTTTAGACAGTATATTCTTACATAAGCTAAATTAGCCATTAAATCTAATTGAATACTTTTCAATTATTTAGACTATAGAGGTGGTATAGTAAAGTTTTCAGCGTTTTCAGAATCATATATTATTTTAAAAATATTTTTCACTTAGTTATACTATATTCAGATATTCTATAGTTTTATTTTATTGTTGGACTATAGGTAGGTAATACCTACCTATAATTAAATTATAGCCTATAACAACACAAAATGGCAACCCACGCGTTACGTAATACAGATATATACGCATGATACATAAGTCATAAATCGAGTTTGAATTTAAAAATCTGATATACAGGCAGTATTAACAAATATCTATACATATTAATATATTATAATATTATATATGTTTTGAATTTTCTATGAAGGATAACCAGTTCCTGCGCTACGACTAATACATAATATATAAGCAAACAAGAGCTCGCAGTATAAAAACAAATAACGATATCATGTATTTATTATTGTAATTTACCTGACTATCGGTTATTTTAAATCGGCTGTGAATAAATACAGGTAAACAATAACTCTGATCGACTCATGAGCATCCCACTCATTATATAATATATAGGTATTAGGTACCTACTATTACACATAGATTTTAAATTGTAACTAATAATAACATAATATTATGTATTATGTAAATTATAACGTAGTAAGACTTACCGAACCAAGTGGCATTTCGAAACGTCAGTGGCAAATTCCACATGGACACACCAGTAAATCCCAAAACGGCCCCTGAAATCACGCATGGCAACAACGAAATCACGGCCAAGAATCCCTGTAAACAAAAAAAACAAAAACAAAATCACCGCACGTTCGTTATTATATTGCAGTATTAGCAGCGATTAGTTAATACATTTTATTACATCATAATATTTATATATCACAGAAAATATACCCAAAAACAGACACCATAATATGATATCAATTATAGTAGGCATTACCTGCGTCATCGAAGAATTATTCAACGGTTTTTGGACGTTTACCACTGCGGGCGAATCAGCAGGTGGCGGCGTGCTCGGCCCCGGCGCGTTTTCTTCCATCACGAAAATAATAGACCGTAGACGGGCGCTGCTTTAGTGGTGTTAAACTGGCATGTATGGTTAAATCGTATTGAAAAAAGCTCGCTGGTTTTCGCGCATAAATTACAACAATATTATTATTGTAAATTCCCGTGTTGTTGTGGTCGAGACGTACGACGTTGTCGATATAATATTATGGGTAGGTGTTGCTGTAACGCGTTCGACCGATTATAACGGCGCACTGAAGTCCGAGCGCCACTATAGGACTGCTGCTACAATTCTCTCCAGAAATCCAACGTCATTTGGACGGCTTCAAACCGGTGTCGGATGACTATACGGTGTACACGCATTATTATCATCACCAAACTACGTTATATTATTATGTGTACGCGTGTGTATATACATAATGATATAATACTTTATAATATCATATAGGGTGCTTGGGTGCACTGGATACGCAACGACGACCAGAACCAATAGTAACTCGGCATAGATATGCACTCCGAGGAGGATTACTATATTATTATAATAATATATTATAAATTTTAATTTATAAAATATAATCTGTTCCCGACGTTACGCCTCCGATCGACCGAATTCTAAATCGGTGTCGAATCAATATCTATTGGTATTTTATGCGCAATCGGAATATTTAACGTGTATTATTACATATTTTATATTTATATCTACAGGCTCTCTACAGGCGGAAGACATATATTTCTTAAAAAACATTATAAATTTCTCTCATATATATAGTACGATGATTATAATATAGTATATACATTATCAATAATATCATGATGCACGCACATCGGACACATGTTATTACACTTATGCATAGGGATATAGATCATAATATTCTTCTGACTATTCATTATTGTTTAATCTCGACAACCAAGACTGTTACATGGGCCGGGGGTCACGTCTATTTAAGTGCGTTTTCACAGCATCGTTTGGACCACACCTAATGCACATAATATATGTCTTGATTACACATAGTATGGAGTACCATATCGTATTATTATTGTTATTTATTTATATGACCGCACAAATCGGTTTTGTTCATCATTTGAGTGCAAAGTGTGTGGGCATAACATAATAAAAAACATAATATTAAATACAAAATATAGAGATAATATAATTTAATTGTTTTTCTCCCAATAATAACAGTATGGAATTCGATAACGGTTCAAATGACTTTCAGATACAATCGAGTGAGATTAAATATAATTACACTAAAACATGGTATTATAGTCGTTTAAAAATTAATGGATATATTTTTTAAGATCAATTATTAAGCGAAGGGCCGTTGAAGAAAAGAATCAGATCGGGTGCTAATGCCAGAGAACGAGACAGAACTCAAAGGTAAATACTGTTTAATTAGTAATTAGTATTAATTATTACCTACCTAGGCTATATAGTCATAAAGCCAATAATTAAGAAAACCATATTATTTAAATTCTAATTTTTGTTATATTTTAGTGTAAACTCGGCTTTTGATGTTCTACGGGCCATGATACCCATTGATCCTCCCGACCGCAAACTATCTAAAATAGAAACATTACAGTTAGCCACGAAATACATTAGTCATCTGTCCCAGATCCTGAATTCTGGTAAATATGCCTTAACCGTCATAATTTATTATTCCTATTGGCTATTAAGAACATAAAAATATGGATAAATTATTTATTATATAACAATACACGAAAAATATTTTTCTTTATAGATAACTGTAGTAATAGACACTGTTATCGCAGAAAATAGATTAATGTCTATGACCAATGACCATTGATTATAAATAGACAACAATACTATTAATAATCAATGCTGACACATACAGATGCATTATGATAAATATTAAATTTGTTATGCCTATCATTGTTTAGTGTTTACAATAGAAATCATAATTATTTGTTTTATGTAATCATTTTGTTTTTGAGAGATCCAAGACTTGGAAATTAACGTTTTACTGTTTTAGTATGATTTATTGATTTTATTATATTGGCATATTTATAATTCTGTGTCCGGCAAATTATACAGGCATAGTTATCAATTCTAAAGTAGGTAGTTAGTGCTATGGTGTCATACAACAAAATATTGTTTCCCTAACATCATAGGCGCAATTTGGGGGGTCCTTGGGGGTGCTTAGCACCCACAATTCATATTAGCACCCCCAAATTTTTGATAGCATCATCGAATTTTTAATGACTATAAAATTATTCCATATGGATTTGGATATATTTATTTGTAACACTATCATTTTCATAATAATAATAATACATAGGTATCAGAATAATATTATAGGTAAAAGTGCATTATGTTATAGGTAATTGTTTGTATTAAGATTAATGTGAATGTGTATAAAATTAAGTTGTAGAATGGAAGGGGTATGGGGACAAAGCCCCCATTTACCACTTTAGTCAATATAAATCTAGCACCCCCATAAATTTAACCCAAATTGCGCCTATGCCTAATATGTTGTAACATTTTACGTAAAATAGACCTTTTTGCCAAATCACTTCCAGAAGAACAATCCCTTAACATCTGTTTAACATGAATTATACCATTAATCATTACTGTTTAATATAACATATTATTATGTGTGATTTTAAAACGTTATTATAAAATATTAATATAAGTAATATACACAGGTTCATTACTTTCATAATATATATAATTTTGTTTAGGAGAAGATAGTGAACAAGCACACAGTTTCTACGATGTATGTATATTTTGTTTAACAAATAAAATCAATTCTTGAATAATATACAAAAAACAAATACTCTTTACAAATTTCACCAAAATGTATTTATTACTTTATAATCTATATAATAATATTATTATGTATATTTATTTATAATTATGTTTTTTGTATTTATAAATGTTGTGAATAATATTAAAGCTATGTGTATTTACATTTACATTCAATTAAAAAAAAATATACTGTAACTTATTGTATAATATACATTTATTATGTGCATGGTAATATAAAGCACAAACTAAAATAAACCAAAAAGGAACACTAAAAAACAAAATAAAATCAAATACAACCAGTTACTGTAAAAGGACATGTAACATTTGGTTGATTATTTTTATCTTCAAAAAATAAATTTAATTTAAATACTACAACATGACATTTCATGTATTATACCTTATATAATATTAAAGACAAATTACTTTAGTAATATTTATATATATATATTATATTATTAGTTTTTAAAGTAATTTAAGTTAACAAGAAAAATTATTTTTGCTACTTTAAAATAGCACCATATTTTTGGTAAACATTTCTATTTTACATTTATTAAATAATTTAGTGTTAAAAAAAAAATTATAACCAATTGAATTGTTTTTGATAGTGAATTTTTCATGCAAGAAAACTGTGTTGATAAATGTGTAATTTTTAATTGAGATTAATAAATTTATATCATCAAACAAGGTTATTGGTTTAGTATGATTTGAGCAGTGAAATGTAATTAAATAATATTAATAATATTTCATCTATTGTAGAAGGGTAATGAAATCTCAATAAAAATGAATTCAATTTAACAGTTCTAATCGTAGTCTATAGTATTTTTTCCAAAATAATTAAAAGTTGTCAATCAATGTTTTTTTTTTTTACAAAATATTTTAATTAAAATACTATCATATTAGAAGAACTAATTTTGTTGAATGTATTAAGTGCATGATGGTTAATTTTATATGCATTAATTTAAAAGGGCAATCATTAAACTAATCCCTAGTAGTGTGACGGATTGATTTTGATAAGGGTGTTGCAAATACAAAAATATACTTGCACTTATTATTTTTTTAACTAGTTGCTAATTATTTTACATTAAGTACTCATAAGTACAATCTTAATAAGACATTTAAAATTAAAACAAATTTATATAAGCACATATTATCTTAATTTTAAAAGATTAAAAGTTATTGCTAACAATATGATTTTTTAAAAATTAAATATTAATTTAAAATTGTATTGCATTTCTTATATTAGGTATGTTTAGTTTAGTGCATAATTTTATTTTAACTTGTTATCTTCATAAATAAACTTAAAATATTCAATAGATAACATTAAAAATATATATAAAAAAAATTGCATACACTTAATTAGTTGTATAATAACTAACATTAATACATAGTTACTAAACTTATAACTTTTATTAAATTAGTAATTACCATTTGCCATATAATTGTGTAATAATAAGCATAAATTGAATATTTACATTAAAAAAATATATATTATATAAATAATAATAATAAAAAAAGATGTTTTTCTTCTTTTATTATGTTAAATAAAACTAGTTAGTACGACTTTAAAAATTAATTTATTCACATACTATGAAATACCATTAATAATTGTTAATTTAGTTAATTTACATTAATTACCCTTCTGGTTCAAATGTAATATTTTTCTTTACAACATTTAAATTATTTGATATTTTACACATATTGTTGTAAATAAACAATGAAAAAATTATTGCCTTCCTCGTGCAGCTTCTTCAAGTGCACGAACTTTCATTTCTCGCTCTCTTTGTTGTTGTTGCCTGAAATATTACAAAGTATAACTATTATTGACTACAATTGATACTGTTTGAAAAAGTCAAAAAAAAAAAAAATTAGCCATACAAAGACCATAAATTTATTTTTAAGAATTAATACATTTTTAATTTAAAAATCACCTAGCAATAAAAAATTTTAATTACGTAACCCAACTATATTATAATTTGTATAATTTTAGTAACAATTTATCTGAAAACTGGTCACCCCTCATGATCAAATTATAAGGGTTAGGTTTGTACGTCGGTTTTTATGATATATAAACTATTGAAGTTATACCATTACACCTACTCATTTGAGTACCAAGTGGGTACCTCAAATTCTTTCTTCTATTTAGAAGTATAATAATAGTCCAATTGAATTATTCGTTAATAATTAATCTTAAACCAATACATCCAATCAGAACCTATTTTAATTAGCCCAATAATTCTTAATTTTAGAATGCAATAAATAAAAAACCCTATCACAATAATATTATTAAACCTTGAGAAGAAGGGAAATATAATATTATGTTTGTGATTAGTTTTAGTGTAATTTAATTTAAATATGTATATATGAAGTTCATTAAAATTATATAACCTACAACACATTTAGACATACCTAATAAATTCTTCATGAGCCATTAAAGCTGGATGTGGAAAACGTTCACGTTCCATCATCATTTGTCTTTGAAAATGTTCATGTGCGACCTATTAAAATTTTTATATAATTGAGCAATAGAACATACAAACGTAAATTCAACTAATTTTGAACAGTTTTATTCTCATATAGCAAAAGTTATATTTTAAACTCAATATTAAATGGTCTTACTTGATCTGGAAATGGTCTAACTTGATCTGGGAACGGTCTTACTTGATCTGCAAATGGCCGGGCTAATACATCACTCGGATGATGAAGTCCTAATGTAGGATCACGCCCAGGTAAAAGGTTCGGACGAGGATAACCACCAGAAGCTAAAATTGATTTTAATTGAACTTTTATTAATTAACTGATGTGTACAATAAACAGTAGAAATATTCAAATCTTCACAAACCTAATAAAAACTTTTTATTGTGGTGTACTAAAATCAAAAATTTTAATTGTCGAATACTTTTATATACAAACATGGCAGTATAATTATAATATTATATAATAGTACAATTTTTATCAAGACATAGGTATATGTAAATTTAATATTTATACGTGTAAAATAGAATTTTACAAAAAAGTAGTAACCAAATGTGTTGTCAATGTCTTACTAACGCATAACACACCAAAATGTGCATTCAGCTGTTCTATTTTTGTGCTGCAAACATAAATATTAAAGATAATAAAATTGAACTATTATCAAACATTAATCGGTGTTCTCTTCTTGGATTTTCACAATATTTTAAGTTATGAGTAAAATATTGAATTTAAAATTTCTCATAACAAGCCTCAACATTTAATTATTGTAAAAAACCCAACAAGAAATCACAGACAATGTTCTTACCTAATCAGTTCAATCGAATATTAAAGATAACAACACAAAATCGGAACTACCAAGTATACATTTGCTGTCGTCAATTTGTATGGTGAGATACAAAAAATAAAGATATGATGTCATATTATTGATAGAAAAGATTTAATACTTGGGTACTTTTCTGTTTTCCCTACTACTGCTTGATGCCGCGACTACCATGACTACTACTGAATTACTCAATACTCAATTCGACTACTATAGTACCTAGTATTTACTATCCCGATAGTTCCGTATTTTAAGACATAATACACATAAATTGCCATTTATATAATAATGTATATTAGTATAACGTTTATTATCAGTTATCACATAAATTAACACAGTAGTGAAGAGTTATAACTTTCAATATAAAATTATAAAACATAAAATCATCAAAATTATCACAAAATGTCAAATTAAAATTCTTATAAAATCATTAATACAAGTGGGTACCGCTTGTATCAAATATCTCGAGCAGCTCAACCGTTACGCATCAGCTGACAGTCGACGGTCGTCGTCCCTCAATTGGTCATAATATTGTTATATTGTTATACAATTTATAAATGTGTTATTAAAATAAAATACGACGATTTGTGACTGAATAATATTACAATCCATTTACATAGGATAACACACAATATTAAATTTAAATAATACGGCCAACAAGTTGGGGAGAAGGGGCAGTCGCCCTTACCGCCCCCGACTTGATCCTCGCATGGCGGTAGTAGGGTTAACAGAAAAGTACCAATACTTGTTCTACGATTTTCTTGGGATAATTTTGCATCAAGACTAAAAATTTAATGGAAATACAAAAGCACAAATATTTTTCTCAAGGGGATTCCACCCAATAATTTTTGACCAGTTTTTTGCCAAACATACCAATTGATCTAATGAAGCTATAAAAATAATTCTGAAAATACATTAAAATTTGTCGTCAAGTCTACTTTAAATCGACTTTCCCACATTTTTGATATTATCCCACAAATTCCTAAAAACGTTATATTAAAATAGAATAATTAAAAAATTGTTGTATTAAAATTTTTTGAGAAGTTGAAATCAAAAAAATCAAAGATATGGAGAATTTGATTTAAAGTAGACTCCCAATCTGTTAATAAAATTCTCATTGCTTCATTAGATCAATAAGTATGTTTGGCAAAGAACCAATCAAAAGTCTATGTTGCATGTGTGTTAGATAAAGACAGAAAATCACGGTATTCAATCCGCTTAAAATTTCAAAATACTTACTAATTAAGTGGGTGAAAAAATATTTACTTAAATGTTTAATTATTATATGTACACGGGTAATTAAATTTAATAATGCAAAAAGTATTCTTTTTTATTTTACCTGTATCACTGTATTATATATAAATTATAATATTAGAGAGTTTATTTGATATTTTTATTTTATAATCATTGCAATATTTTTTTAAACAATTAAGGTTATGAGCAGTGTCGGCCTGGTACCTAAAGGGCCCCGGATGCATTTCTTCAGAAGGGCCCCCAAAAATGTTTTTTCATAAAATTATTAAAAATGTACTTATAAGTAGGTAGTGTAAAATATTATAATTTTTTAAAGGTACCATAAATAAAATTAACCATCCATTAAGTTAAGATTTAAGTTAGATTAATAATTTATTATTCTAAACAATTTTTTACATATTACATAATATAAATAATACCTTCTCACATTATACAACTTAATATTTTTTTTAATGTGATTC